ATTTGTCCAGGCCTCATCTGAACAGCATCATTTTTTGTTCATGTCTCACAGCCAGAGATGCTGTGTAGAGTGTGGCCTTAGTGTGGCCTTAGCTTCTTTTCATGCCTCCTTCTAGGTCCAGGGAGTTGGCAGCAAGGGATGGCGTGATGTCACTACTTTCTTTTCTGGGAAAGCTGAAGACACTTCAGATAGGTAAGCCATGTCCCCACCCAGGCCCTGGGTCCTTTGGGCTCCCTGCGAGGTCGCTGGTGGCCTGGCCTCACGCCCTCTGCCCAGTGTTGCACACTGAGTCCTTTGCTAGAGGCAAAGTGACTGCCCTCTCGCCCTCAGCACTGAGGCTCCTGTATGCTCTTTCTGCACACTCTTTCCCAGTGCCCTAGTAAATGCTCTACAGTTTAGGTGATGATAATACAGGTTGAGGTAGCAGGAGGAACTCAATCCCTTCTAAAAGTTTCACGCCCTTAGCACCAGGGTGAACCCTTACCAAGGCCAAATTTGCTCTCAAAGAAAAGGATCCCTCACTTAGTAGGGTACTCTGACCCTACAGGGGTAGCTAGGAGGTACTTTAAAGGACAGCACCCTGTCTAGCCAGGAAGAAAGCAACGAGCTGTTATAGGCATTTGCCACACCCTGGTCAAATGTAGGCTGGCTTGTGAAGTGGTAAATCTTGTTCTAGAGAGCCCCTGAGACCTGAGCAGATTGGGCAGCTTGGTGGGTGCAGGTAATGCAAGTGTCTTTTTGTGAAAACTTTCGAGATTTTGTTCTTCTCTGTAATAGACCCTTAGAGGGCCACAGCTACCAGAACAGCAGTGGAGACAACTCCCAGAACAGCAACATAGACCAGAGCTTCTGGGAGACCTTCGGGAGTGCTGAGCCCCCCAAGGCCAAGTCCCCGAGCAGTGACAGCTGGACCTATGCAGATGCTTCAACAGGGAGGAGGAGCTCGGACAGCTGGGATGTTTGGGGCTCGGGTTCTGCATCTAACAACAAGAACAGCAACAGTGATGGCTGGGAGAGCTGGGAGGGCGCCAGTGGGGAGGGCAGGGCCAAGGCCACCAAGAAGACTGCCCCAGCTACGACCACTGATGAGGGCTGGGACAACCAGAACTGGTAGGCGCCTTGCTGCACCTAGGCCCCAGCTCTGCTGGGACTGCTGTGTTTGCACTTTACCCTTTCTGATCCTCCTCATTTGACCTCAGTGTAAAGACAGTAGCTCAGGCAGGACTTGAGTGGGTGCTGCCTGCCTGGTGTGGGGCGGCTTCCTCTTAGGTCTCAGGGCACCTGTCATCATCTGCCTCCTGGGTCCCCTGAGCAGCCTTCCTGGACTCTAGGTTCTTGGGACCCAGGCACTGTGTCTGCAGCCCTGGCCCAGCCTGGAACTGCAGTCCTGTGCAATGTCAGCCAAGCCAGACATCTGCTTTTTGTTGAAATGTCTTAAAACTTGAAAGGTCTGCTCCTGTCCTTTTTTTTTCCTTGAAGAAAACGCCTGGAATCTTAAGCTGGAAATGAAATGACAAAAGCAATATTGGAGCTCGCACTGCCACCGACGCCCTCACCTAAGTCCACGTGCTGTGGCCTGTGCTGTGAACCTCACTTTGTGACCTTTGCCTTTCCTGCATCAGCCTGTCCAGCCCTTAGTTCCATGGGACAAACTCTCCACAGCTGGCCACACATGGCAGCTTGGGCTCTGGCCCTCCCTGGACACCTGACTTGAACTTGGCCAGTCCCGGACAGCTCAGAAAGAGGAAAGTCATTAAAGTAAAGGAACTGGGATCATTTTCAGCGTATCTGCCACTCCCGCCTGGCACAAGGGAGCCTGAACATGGAGGGCGGGCTGAGGGGCCAGCGGCCACTGCCAGGTTTGGAGCATCTTGATGGGGACCCTTGTGTCCACAACAGCCCAGGCCTCCCCCCAGCCTGCTCAGGGTCAGAGCACACTCAGTCATGTCTCCTCAGCATGCAGCTGTCTCTCCAGATGGCCCCATTTTCCACCCTGTGGACTTCGTGGAACATTGCAGTTGAGACCCATGTGCTACCAGTGGTTGGTGTGACAGCCTTTTCCTCCCAGGATTCCATGGCTGCTGTGTGCTGTGGCGGAGAGCCCAGCTGGGTCTCTGTCTCTTTAAACCCACGCCTGTCTTGACCCTCAGTTTGACCAGCAGTGCATGACCTGAAGCTCTGTGTGGTTTGTGTGTGTCAAGTTTACTTCTGCTTCCCGGGGTTGAGCTGTCCGGGCTCTAAGGTTCCAGTCCTGGCTTACCTTGGGAATTCTAGTTCTTCACAGAACTGATAGGTTTTAGGTTTGGGGACCCCTCCTAGGTGCTTTATCCTCAGGTCACGGAACATCCCTGAGCTGGGAAAACAAAGGGAGATACCCAGGGCTCGTGATTGACAGAACAACCACAGGTGGATGAGATCAGAGGTCAGAGACTTGGGGTGAGAAGCCAATGGGATTTCTGGGAGCACATAAACATTTGGTCAAAAGCCAAGGAAGTCTGACCATGGAGGGAGGATCTACACCGAGTGCTGGTACATCCCAGAGCAGAGACCATGATTCCGTGGATACACGGTGGTATAAAGGGGATGGAATTGGTTGGTTTGGGGCTGAGAAGCAGCCTGCTCCAGGTCATTTTGGGGGTGGGAAATGACCCTAGGTACCTACAGTTTCCTCTGGTACTTTGTCCAGTAAAGAGAAGGATTGCAAATGTCAGTCCTTGTTCTAACATAACCCAGAGTTCTCCAGACTTTTACAGCCCTCAAAGGAAAGGATGAGTAAGGCCCAGGTCAAGGTACTAGAGCATTTGGCTGGGTTTTGGAGCCTGTATGTGGGGAACTTGCCAGACCTCGAGTACACAAGGACAAACACGTGCCAGGTACTCCTGGGCTTCAACGAGGCAACGGTTCCAGGATAGGGCTGGTTACACTCAGGCCAGATAGTCGGGGCTGAACAACCCTGGCTGCCTCTCTGCTTGGTCGGGTAGCTTGGAAGGTGGGAGAGTTGGTGGTGGACTGGCTCTGAGCTTGTGGCTTGGGTAGATAGCCATTCCTGGGCCATGTTGATGGGCTCTTATCCAGACTCCACATCCTTCTTGAGGCAGGTAGCTTGGCCTCCGCCTTCCATCCTCCTGACCCTGACCGGGAGATGTCCGGTGGGGGAGTGTGGAGTTTATGAGTAGTGGCCTGCAGAGAGGCTTCTCCGTGGGTAGCACGTAAGGGCCAGGGGTTATGCTGATGCTGATACATGCCTGCAGAGAGGCTTCTCCGTGGGTAGCACGTAAGGGCCAGGGGTTATGCTGATGCTGATACATGGTCTCCCACCAAGTGTACTTGGTGGAGTTGGTGCCTCTGGTTAACTGGGAGTGTGGGCTTGGGCAGCTGACCACCAGGGGCATCTGTCTTACAAGTCAGACTTCCTGTCCAAACCCAGCCAGACCAGAGGGCACTTTGGGTCAGCCCTGTTCTCTGTGAAACCATTAAGACAATACTCTGAGTGTCTGCGTGCACTTGGGGTCTTCTCTCCCATCCTGGTATCCCCACTTTCAGGCTGTGGTCCAGGAGAAAGGTGAGCAGACTCTAGGGTACCCTGTTCTGGTTTATAGCACGGATCCCAGAGCATGGGGATGGGCTGTACACATGCCATTGTACATGGGGAAGAGGACCATTGGGCTGGTTTAGGGATTCCAGGGCATTACCAGGCAGCCTGAGGTGGATACAGGGTAGCCCACCTGAGGATCATAGTGTAGGGGAGTGCTGAGGTGTTTGTGGATGCATATAGGTGCTTCAAGGTGTCTGTGAGCTGTGGCCACACATGCGTATACCCAGAGATTACCAGGATGAGTTCCTTCATCTGACTGACCATGGTGAAGGTCTGCAAAGACTGAGCCTAGGTTTTTTGGGGTCCCTAGGAACAGAGCTAGGTCCCAGAGTTAGGAGCTTTCAGCATGGCATCAAGAAAGAAGACTATGCCCCCACTTGCATGGATTGCATATTACATATTGGCCATTGGCCAGGTTTGTCCGAGGTCATGTGTAAGTCAGGTTGTCTCCTGGCCAAGGTGGTATTGTATGAGGGCTCCTATGAACAATTGATTCATCTCGGAAGAGCATCTAGGAAGGAGGTACCTGCCATTGCTCTTCCCACAGACATGGATAACCTGACCAAGTGGAATTAAGTCATCCAGCTTCAAGGAGCATATCCCAGGATATATGTTCCTATGCATCCTCTGGGCAACTCAGTAGGGAAACATAGTGTCTGATAAGACAGGAAAGGCTGGCTGTTCTGCAGCCTCCCATCTTGCTGGACTGGGGCTAAGCTAGGGGGCAGGGCAGGTGGTAAGGGACTTGGATCAGCCTAGGATACGGTGGGCTGGAGCCAATGTGTAGTTGAAAACCAAGCTGAGGCTGCACTGGACCCACGGGAACCCAGAGTGACTGCTTCACAAGCCATGCCTTTATCCTAGGCCTAGTCTTCGGAGCCAGCTTGCCAAGAGTTACAGCAGCTAAGCCATGGGGAGTTCAAGATGGATCAGGAGAGCTTTGCTTAGCGCAGAACCAGTTCGGGCTGGAGTGGAGACTGTAAGGGCATACTAGGTGCAAGTAGTGTAGGACTGGGCCTGCTCCTAGGGAACACTTGGGTTCTAGGGCAGACAGGAAGAAAGGGAGTAGAGATCATGAACCCAAGTGGTTGGTAGAGTCTAAGTGGTCCTTCCTCCCAGTAGGCTGGCGGAGACTCCTAATGTCCAGCACCCAGGACCACACAACTGGCCTTTATTCTCAAGAAGCCTGTTCCCTACTTCCCCTACTGGGATTCCCATTGTGGCATGCAACGGGGTCCTTTGTGCAGGGACCACCATCTCATTCTCCAAAACACGCCTCAGGCAGCGGCGGACAGAGGGGAGGAGAAAGGACTTATGGGCGGGACAAGTGGTGATGTCAGGGAAAAGGGCCTTTTATAAGCCCCAGCTTTCCGATGGGCACAGCTAGACCAGGAGGATCACGAGGCATCCTTGGAGCAGAAGGTTAGTGACTCATCTATGGCCCCTGGGCTGGATGGGTGAAGGGGCCACCAAGAGTCCACTCAGGGCTGTACTGGGGGGTGATTTTGAACTTCCAGAAAGATTGGAATAGGTGCTGAGGTCTCACAAGCAGAGAGACCAAGTGCAGCCCAAACACCCGAGCAGATTCTTGGAATCCTGTGAGGGTCTCAAATGACGCTCAGAACTGGGTATACAAAAAGGCTGTGTCCAGCAGAGGGAGGTTTATGTTCAACTGTGACATGAGATAGGAGCGGCTTCAGAATGAGTTCAGAAGGTTAGGGCCATCTAAATGTGGCACCTGTAGATAGACAGTGATTCATACTGAAGCCTTAGTTTGGATTCCTTGGCTAGGTGCATATATCCACTCTAGGGTGGTGGTTCTCAACCCTCATGATGCTGACCCTTTAATGCAGTTCCTCATGGTGTGGTAACCCCCATCTTAAATTATTTTCATTGCTACTTTGTAACTAATTTTGCTACTGTTCTGAATCATAACATGTTTTCCGATGGTCTTATACCATCCCTGTGAAAAGGCTATTCAAACCCTCAGGGGTCACAACCCACAGTTGAGAAACACAGCTCTAGAATGTATCAGCCTGCAGCCTTCCTGCAGGTCTGGGCCCCTGCTCAGGGAGAGCTGGATTCCTTGCAGAGGGTACCCTTGAATATGCAGGGAAGTTTTTCAGGTCCTTTGTTCAGTGGGGTGGAGAATCTGGATTCCCCAGGACTCACAAAACTCAGGCTCACAAAATCCAGACTGGGTCATGTTTGTGTCCCCCTCCTCCGAAGTCCCACCCCTGGGCAGTGGACTCTTGGCCTCTCCACCCCATTGGCCTCTCAAACATTGCCTCCCAACTTCTGAGAGCTCTCAAGTTTCCCGATACTTTTCATCCCTACCCCTGACATGCCTGCCTGCTTCTGCTCTGATCTTGAGTGTGTCCTTTGCTTGAGGGCAAGCCACCCAATGTAAGGACCTTGATGGTAGGGTTCTATCCAAACCAAATCCCAGATTCTGTGGGGCTGCTGGAGCCTCAAGGTCTTGTCACTTTTAGTGACCCCCACTGTGTACATCTGTTGTGGATGTGGACACCAAGGGGCATGGACAGGCGTGCTGGACTGGATGGACCCTACTCGGGGAGAACTGGTTCCCTGCAGAGGGTGCTTTGGAGTGCACAGGAGGTTGTGCAGCTAAGGATCCTTTGTTCAGTGGGACGCCTCTGTGCTAGTCTTAGATCCTCAGTGTCTGTCACCATCCCCATTATAACAAGTCATAGACCTCTGGGTACCACACATGTCTGTGGAGACATTCTGCTGGTCCATGGGAATGGATGGAGAAACTGGCTTCCTGGTTTGGGGTGGGAGCAGATGGCTGAATTAGTGGTGAAGGGCTGTGGCCTCTCCTCCCACAGGCTGCTCGTCATGAGCCTCCGAGGCTCCCACCTCCACTCCTGCCTCTGGATGTTGTTGGGTGCCACCTTGGCTTTGGGGCAGGGGCAAGGTAAGGAGACAATGCCTCCACTGCCTGCAGGAGGAACCCTGCTGCAAACCTTTGATCTTCCATAACAGGCATTTCCAAACAGATTGAATGTCTGTGTAAGAGCTGTTACAGCAACAGGCAAGCTGTCAAGACAAAGGGAGAGAGTCTTCATTCTCAGCTTTTGTCCTGACCTTTGGCCCTGTGCTCTTCCAGCTTCAGTCTTGTTTGGGGAGTTTTGTTTGTTTGTTTGTTTTTTGTTTTTTTCTCAGCTTTTTCAGGATTACTAGCATACTCCAAATTTAATCCTGTAGCGATGCTTTGCTTAGTTATTCTGTGAACCTTTCAGTGTGGTATCAGACAGCACACACACAGCTTAATCGAGAGAAAGATTCCTGCCTCCTCCTTCCTGAGATGAAAAGGCCTTCCTGCACTGTCTTAGACAGGTGGTGCATCTCTCCTCTGCACAAGTGTTAGGACAAGAGTTTCTATTTGGTCCCCTCCTATTTGGCCACTCCACCCGCTCTTCTTGGAAAAGGCTCCCCTGGTGTCTTCCATGACCTCCAAGGGGTGTGTACAGGACTTGGGGAGGGTCTGTGTTGCAGATTCCTTCCAGTGGAACTGCTGCTGGCTCAGGTGGGTCCCAGAAAGACAAGTTGCTGTGTCCCTTTAGCCTCCATACTCATGACTACACCTAGGTCCCAGGAGCGCTTGACTGGTTTGAACCTGTTTCTAGGATTATACAAATATCTAACCTCATCCATGTTAAGAACCTCTTCCTGTCCCTACTATCCACTGCACTGTAGGCAGGTCCAGCTCAGGTTGGCCTGGAGCCCAGCAGACTTCATTTCCCAGCATATCCACCATCCAGAGAGGTGACTGCCATACAGGAGAGTCCCTCAAGCTCCCTTTGTTCAGACAGAGGAACCCCAAGGCAGGCTTGTGGACTGGGACTTCAATCAGAAGGAAGTCTTGCTATGAGTATGACCAATTGAGAGAGATTCCACAAGACCCACAATGCACTGCTCTCCCACTTCAGATCTCAGCTTGTCAGGCTGCCCCTCATCAGCCCTTTGCATGGCTGCAGTGGACTGGGGTCTCAGAGAACAACCAAAGAGGCAGGGTCCACATGTCCGCCTACTGGCTGGGAAGTGCAGCTGAGGTTCGGGAGGGGGGCATGTGCCTGTGTGGTCTCTGAGAGGGAAGTTCTAAGTCTCTAACACATTGCAGGGGGAGGAGAGAAACAGAAGGCTCTTCATGGCAAGGGTTGGGGCCCCTGCTCACAGCTGGCCTGTCAGAGCCCCACCTTCTCCTGTCACATTTCTGCCTTCAGCAGATCACTATCAGAGCAGCCAAGCCCATCTGGAAACAGCTCACTCTGAATGGGCCATTGTGTCTACCCCAGACGCCCCAGTCTTTGCCTATCTCTCTGTGCCCCCGCACATGGCGAAGGGACTAGAAGAGGCCTCTGTCCCCATTTTCCAAAAATAACTGCCTGCACCACAGAGCCCGGAAGCTTTCTGGGAGGTCAGCACAGACCCCACTGTCCTGTCCTCCCCATTGACCATGGGTATCTCCCCCTCTTCCATGGGTAGCAGGAGCTTGAAGCAGCTGGTCACATTGCGTCCACCATCCGAAAGCAGAGAGGACTGAACGTGTGCGCTAGAGCTCAACTCACTAGCTCAGTGTCGCCAAAGGAATAGTTCCATCTGCAATTAAAATGTGTCTCCCCAATAAAATAAATTAAAAAAAAAAAAGAATGTGGAGGGTGGCTCAACTCTGTGTTCTTTTGGCAGAATAGTAGTAGCGAGTTCCTTCTGAAGACTGAGTTCCCTAGGCAAGTTTTTTGTTGTTGTTGTTTAATTAATGAACTGAATTGGTGTAGAGCATTTGAGCCAACATAATTCTCAATACATTTGCTTTTGTACACAGTCAAAAAAAAAATGTGTCTCCCCACATGGTTAACAAATCAAGATAATCCCCTACAGGCATACTGTCAGTCTAATATCCCAGGCGATTTTAGATTCTGTCAAGCTGGCAGGACTAGCCATCATACTGCCAACCCTAGTGTGAGGGCTAAAGCTAGGTGTGCATCCTACACGTGCCCACATTTAGGCACAGGTGCACACAGACACACCGTGTGCGCATAAACAGACAACCACCGCCACACTTCCAGCTGACGTCCTTTACCCAGTCTGCCCACAAGGGGTGCATCAACTTAGCATGACTTTGGCAGTGGGGGGGGGGCATCTTCAGCAGCATGGCTGCTTCTACAAAATTATTTTTTTTAATATTTATTTATTTATTATGTATGCAATATTCTGTCTGTGTGTATGCTTGCAGGCCAGAAGAGGGCACCAGACCTCATTACAGATGGTTGTGAGCCACCATGTGGTTGCTGGGAATTGAACTCAGGACCTTTGGAAGAGCAGGCAATGCTTTTAACCTCTGAGCCATCTCTCCAGTCCCCTTCTACAGAATTCTTGAGAGCAGGAGACTCAAAGCAGCTTCTAAGGCCCTGGGCAGTGGGTCAGCAGCTGCTGTTTTACCTCTGCACCTCTAATCATCCCAGGGTGGGCACTGCCCCTGATGCTGATCTGAGCCTCCTTTGCAGCAGGGGCTTCCCCTTGGGTGGGATTAGACTCCCTCCTGCTGAAGCTAACAGTGTGGCCATGTCATTGAGAATCTTAAGGGTGAAGGATTTTTCCTTCACAGAAAAATCTTGAGCCACAGACTCTTCAGACACCTAGATGAAGATATGTCCCTTCCAAGATCTTAGGGGAGGCCTCCCTCTGGTTGTAGGAGGTGGTCAATTAGTCACTGGTAAGTCTGTCTTGCACCCCAACCTCCAATCCTGTTTTTACAGTAAGCGGCCGTCTAAGGCTGGCAGTACTGCCTGAGGACCAGCTGCAGATGAAGTGGAGGGAAGCAGAGGGAAGTGGCCTTGGCTACTTGGTGCAGGTGACACCCATGGCAGGTATGGCTTCTGCTCCTTTTCCATTAGGACTGCTAGAAATGGGTCTAGGCTCTCAAGAAAATGAACCCAGTCCCAAGTGTTTTGGCAAAGCATGCAGTTTTACTTCTGCGGAATGGTATATAGCCAAGTTTAATCAAGTAAGTGAGCACAGCCAGTCAGAGGCCCCACTGTGGTTTTGTTCCTAACCAAAGGAGTCTTGTACTGCACTCTGAGCGATCAGAGCTGGGTCTCACATTCTTACAGATTGGCAGCTTAAAGCAATATAGTTGGTTAACAGAATACAGCTTCTAAGAGTACGATGCAACCTTGAGCACAAACATGGATCTTAGAAAAATGCTGAAGGGTAGACAGGGACTTTTTTCTCCCAGATGCCTTTTTAAAAAAAATTTTATTTTCTCCACAAATTTCTTTAAAGATGGAACCTCCTTTGTCTCATTAAATGCTTCAGTAGAAAAGGCAGTGCATTTTATTTACACCTACAGGACCGAGGCTCTCCACTGAGAAAAGCAAGGAGAATGACTCTTAACAGGGGGTCACTGGGCTTGCTCCAGCCGGCATCTCCCCACACCACCTAGTGGCTCCCACTCTCTGGCCGGGCCATTTCTACATTTCCACTGTCAGCCTCCATCACATGGAGCAGCTGCAGCTGGGGAGGCCTCTGTATTCCCCTGCACCCAGCACCAGCACACACAGAAGGTGCTCAGGACATATGCTTTGAAGAAGTGGTGACTCCCTCATCAGAATGGGTCTGAGGGCTTTAAGAACAGCCTGGATCCTGCATGCAGTGAGTGTGTGAGAGAGCACTTAGCCCTCTAGTTACAGGGACAGGGTCGTGATGACACAGGCTTAAGTTGGGTGTGGTAAGGTTTACCTGTTTTCTAATACTGAGGCAAGAGGATCCCCTGTTCAAGGCCAACTTGAGTTACATAGATGCTCTTTTTGTTTTTCCCCCCTGTGGCTTAGAGGAAGATTAATAGATTCAGCTTCATAAGTTATAAAATAACAATTGCAGGGATGGGGATGTAGATCAGTGGTAGGCTTGCCCAGCATGTGCGAGGCCCTGGTGTGATTGAGTTCCAGTATTGAAAAAGGAAAAAAGAAAAACTAAGAATTTAAACATCCATATTAAGTTATATGAAACAGAAAAGTAAATTTGGGTAGACTAGAAAGAAATGATAGAAAAGGGAATGAATTATATAAATTAAAACATGAGGTGAATCAACAAAGCCAAAAGATATCTTATAAAATACAAATAAAATGGATTACACAATACTAATAAAATCAATAACAAAGTAATTGATTTGAGTTTAAATCTACAGTCTTCCAATTTGCTTTCTTTTTAGAAAGATTCTAAACGGATAGTGATCCAGAGTATTCTTTTTAGCCAGTATGACAGTCTGTCTTCTTAAATTGTGTGTGTGTATGTGCACACACGCACGTGTGCGTGCGTGTGCATTGGTGCAGGTGCCCTTAAGGGCCAGAGGAGATGGATGTTTCTGGGTCTAGAGTTACTGGCAGCTGCGAGCTACTAAGCGTTGGCCGGTAACTGAACTTCATCTGCTACTCGTAACTGGTTGCCATCTTTCCAGCCCCAATCTTTGTCTTTTAGTTGAAACATTTTATCTATTTTTATTTAACAAAGTAATTGATTTATTGAACTTTAAAGCTACATTCTTCCAATTTGGTTTCTTTTTGATATACTTTTGTTACACTTTTATTCTCTTCTTCTTTGGGGCTATTTTTATGGGAATTTTAAACACCTGGAAAACAACAGGGTGTAACGGAGTCTGGGGTTCCACACTAAGCACCACAGGTAACATGTGGCCAGGCCAGCTTTGTTTCCCTTCTTGTCACCCTCCTGGCTGCATGATCTTAAAGCAAAATCTGAGACATTGTACAAGTCTGTCTGTATTTGTTCTTGAAGAAGGAACGACTCAAACACAGCTCAAGGGCCATTGGCATGCCTCCAAATTAAAACCACAACTTTGTAGTTCATCCAGAAATATCTTCTATAATTGCGCAACCTTAATTAGGACCCCAAACGAGGATACACATCCCCCCCCCCCCGAAATAGGTGATGGAGGAAGGTCATTGGCTAATAAAGGAACTGCCTTGGCCCATTTTATTGGTTAGAACATAGGTGGGAGGAAGAGGCAGTGAGCTCAGACTCCACAGCTCTCCTCTCAGGAGCAGACGCCTCAGAGAGATGCCATGCTCCGCTCTCCCTGGCAGACGCACGCGATGAAGCAAGCCGCCAGGTTAGACATGCTGAATCTTTCCCGGTAAGACCGGTGCTCACAGATTATTAGAGATGGGTTGATCGGGATGTGAGAATTAGCCTGTAAGGGCTAGAGCTAAAGGGCCAAGCAGTGTTTAAATGAATACAGTTTGTGTGTTGTTATTTCGGGCATAAGCTAGCCGGGCAGCCCCACCGCTCCACCACTCTTATTACTACAAATAGGGTCTTTCTTTGTGGCCCAGCTTGGCCTTGAGCTCACAATTCCCTTGCCTCAGTCTCCTGAGTATTGAGATTGCCAAGTGTGCGCCACACGCCAGGTTGAGGTATACATCTTACTAGTCTTGTGCCTCTTTTAATTTTTCTTCTCTCCTTTTCCCTTGGTATTTACTTGTAGGAGAAGCCAGATCCCTGTTTCCTTGTCTAGCAATGACATATTTGAGATGCTGTGTGATTTGCCCCTCTCTCCCCTGTGTCTCCTGCAGATTGGTAGTTGGATCCTGGAGTTTAGTCAGGTTCAAGTTAGCCTGTGTTTGCTAGTGAAGATTGTTGCTAGTGGTATGGGTGTTCTTGGGTTTTTTTTTTTTTTTTGTATCGCAGATGGCTGTCCATGTTTACTTTTACTGTAGCATTAAGATTGGCTGGCAGGTATTGGATGAAGAGTTCATGTCTTCATAAGCTTGATAGTCACTCATTCATCTCCTCATGCCCTGGTGACCACCTTAGACAGAGCAGTACACATCCTTATAAACATGTGGCAAGCCTGATATCTTTGTCACCTTTCATAGGTGGTGCTTCAACCTCTGAATACCCCATCTCTATCCTGCTTCATGAATCCTATTCAGTAGATATATTAAATCTCATAACATATTTTCAGTATGACAGTTGGTTATTAGTCTATATCTATAAAGGTGGGCTAATGTCCTAGTCTGTTTTCTTTTTCTTTTTTTTTAAGTTGAGATAGGGTCACACTATATAGTTTAGGCTAGTCTTTTTTTTTTTTTTTGCAAGGCAAAAATTTATTAATGGCTAGGTCTTATTTTCAATCTCCCATAGTAGGAGAATAGAAACAGTCCATATTAAAGGCAAAAGCAGTTTCTTTACATTAAGCAAGAAAGTGATTTAAGAGTGGAATATTGCAGTTATTTTTATGATCATGGGAATGGTACATGTTTATGGTCATAGAGTTCACAAACCACAAAACATCTTATGGTCAGTCAATTCTCAGAACAACAAAAACAATTTATGATGTGTAATTCACAATGTTGTTGAGGAAAAACCACCCAAAATATTAACCTCTAGCTGAGGAAATGATAAAAATCTAACATTGTTGAATTAAAAAGAAAAATGAAGTCAGCTGTCTTTAATCTGTAACAAACCAAAGGCAACAGGAAGTAAACTATCTCAATGAACACGGTTTACACAGGACAAGTGTAAGCCTGTATCCAGTGACCCCCACTTCCAACAACAAAGCCATGCCTCCTTAAAACCCCACACACGATGGGGGACATTTTCTTTCCAACCACCAAATTCCACTCCCTATCCCCTAAAGGCATGTAACTATATCATAATACAAAAATGCATTCAGTCCAAATACAAAAGATCCCACTCTATCACAATCTAAACAACATTTAAAAGTCCAAAGTCCAGAGTCTCTTCTGAGTCATGTAGTAACTTTCATTGTAATTAAAATAAAAAACAGATTACATACTTCCAACATATAATGGCACAGGATACTCATTACCATCCCCAAACACAGGGAAGAAAGTATGGAAATACTGGACCAAAACAAGACCGAAAACCAGCCGAGAAATTCCAAACTATGTTTCCACGTCTGATGTCAGAATGTTCTGCAGAAATCCAATTCCCTTCAGTTGTGTTGACTGCAACACACTTCTTTCTCAGGGGATGGCCCCACTCCTTGTGAGCAGCTTTCTTCACCAGATATCTCATAACTCTGGCATCTCCAATATCTTGGGGTCTCCAAGGAAATACAGGTTTCTCCTTCACAGTTTCACACAGTAACCTCTCTGGGCTTCCAGTCAGCACACCCCTGACACATGGATGGCCTTAGTCGCTTTCCTTAAACAAGGAGGAAGGTTCCACATACCTTTCTTCTATCCTCGAAGCCAGAATTATGAGGTCAAAGCTGCCGAGTTCTCTTGGCCACTTCTCCAGCTTTGTTTTCGATAATTTCCTTCACTGCTAAGGCTGGTTGTTCTGGAACTTGCTTTGTAGACAAGGCTGGCCTCAAACAAGAGATCTGCCTGGCTCTGCCCTCCCAGTGCTGGAATTAAAGGCATGTATCCCCACACCTGGCTGTAAGCTTCTTTGTAATTTCTTTCACAAGTTGGAAACTTCTCCGGGTGGGATGGTGCCCAGAGGTCACCACTACCATTTTTCTATTTCTTAATCTGTTTATCTCCTGGAACACAGACTTCAATTCCATTACACTTAACTCCATTCCTGGTGCGCACACGTTGACCCACATGTATGTTCACATATGTATAGTAAATTTGGGAGTCTCAACAATTCTCCACCTCCACCTAGGGGACTTGGAGCAGGAGCTGATATTAACCACCAAGATGCCCAAGGCCACTGTGGGTGGCCTGAGCCCTTCCAAGGGCTACATCTTGCAGATCTTCGAGCTCACTGACTCTGGGCCTGTCCTGCTGGTGCGAAGGGAGTTTGTGAGTAAGTCCTCCTGCACGCAGACAGGGGTGGGTGTGGGCGGAAGGCATCTGGCCTTGTGACCTGGGGCATTTTGCCTGTGAGGTGCTAGGGTCTTGTTTCCTGTTCCTGACATTGCTGCTCTCCTCCCATGAGGTGGAAATGTTCAGGAAAGTATATAAACCCCCAAACCCCAAGCCCCTGCTTCCACCCTGGGCTGATGCCCTAACAGTCAGTCCCTCCTCTCTCTGTAGTTGAGGATCTGAAGAGCCACTCTCTGAGCAGAGGCAGCCGGAGGCTGGTAGGACCCACCCTGGATCCTACCTCTTTCCCTCTGCAGGCCTCAGACCCTGAGAAAACACCTGAGCCCAGTATCGTCTTCACCTTGAACAGAGACCGGCCCATTCTTGGTGGGTCAAAGTGGAGTGGAAGTAAATCCTGGAGGTTGTGTGTGTGGTGGGGGTGGGGGGGAGGGAAGCCCTCTGATGCTTCTTGTGTCTCTTGCCTTATGGCCATAAATTCTTATTTGTATTTGATCACATGCTCTAGCTTTAATTTAGGCTAGTCATATTCCTGGACTCACAATCTCAGGTATAGGGGCCAGGTAGCCTTTGTCCCAGAGCCCTAGCTTAGGTCTGGGAGGTGCGTGGTAGCAGATGTAACTCTTCCCCTTGCCTCCAGCAGTGGCCAATAAGGATCAGAGGAAACCCAAGCAAGGCTTTGGTGTGCAGGACCCCGCTCAGCCAACCACAGACCTGGAGAGGCAGAGCCACATTGCAGACTCTGTGGGGAAGGGAGAACAGCTAGGTAAGGTGACTGCTGTGTTCTGTGGGGTCAGATCAAGCGAGGCCACCTCCTCGCCTGTGCCCCTCGCATCAGGAGCACACTGCCTTCTTCACCAGACACAGAGCTGGGGAAAGACTTCTGTGCTCAGATTTGGTCATTACTGCCTCATGTCAGGCCCTGTGCCCCATTATGTTGTTAGGAATCAGGTCTTCTACTGCAATGTTTACCCCACTATTGAGGGTCTTACAGACATGCCTGGGCCTCCCCCTTTAGACTGAGCATCAGAAACCACAGAAAAATCACCTACCTGGCTGTGTTTAAGAATCTCATGAGGCCTGCCAGGAGCAATCTGTGTCAAATTATCAGGGGCCCAAGGAAGCATGTTATCCACAAAGAACTCTAGGGTGATGGAAGATTCTGAGGTCACAGAAGTAGTTCCTGATTGCTACTGCCCTGCCTGGTCTTCCTGCCAGTTTATCCGGTTTGGACTGTCTTTGGTGCTAGCACCCTCACCCGTGACTGGTGGCCACCTACAGGCAGTTAGGTCTGGAAATGTGGATGCTGGAGCCTGCTCAGCCCAGGGACTAAATTGTCAGATTCAGACATAGTGCTGCCAGGGGCCTTGGAAGGCAGAGGTGACCCCTAGACCTGAGACTGTGATCAGCCCTCTTTGAAACCCCAAACTAGGATGCAAGAGGCTTTTCTAAATCTAGGGGGACACAAAGTCCTTGAAGACCCTGACCCCGAAGATCTCAGGGAAGGGTATTTTGAGGCCTTCAGTCAGGTCTACAATACCTCAGGTGTCCTGGGGAGGTCACAAGCCTCACCCAATAGCTCACCCATTCTTACCTGCCCCAGTTGACCCCCAGTTCCATTGTATGCCCCCAACTCCTACCGATATAATCTTCCTGGTGGACGGGTCCTGGAGCATCGGCCACAGCCACTTCCAGCAGGTCAAAGACTTCCTGGCCAGCATCATCACACCGTTTGAAATAGGACCAGATAAAGTCCAAGTAGGTGGGTACCACCTCCTTTGTCTTGCCCTTGGGGGAGATGGGACCTCTTAAGCCCTCACCAGCAAAGGCTGGCAGCTGCCCTCATAACAGGATAGGAAATGCTATAGCCTCCCAAAGTCCATCAGCCTGTGAGGAGAGTTGAGAAACCTGGCTGATGGAAGCCTGCTTGGTCTGGATTGGGTCATGTGACTGATTCACTTTCCCTGTGAACCAGGGTAGCTGTTATAGTCTGCGGGAATGACTGACTCCTAGTCAGTCCCTCTGATGGTACTCCTAGGAGAGCCTTGGACCCTGAAAATGTGTCTTTTCCTGGAAGTGGAACCACCAATGGCTGTGCCCAGAGCAGGCAACTCTGTAGACTTCAAAATAGTCCTGGCATTGAGGGTGCAGTAGTACAATATTGCCTAGCGTGCTTTCCCTAGGGCTGCAAAAAAAAAAAAAAAAAAAAAAAAAAAAAAAAGAAGAAGAAGGAAAGAAACCAAAATCAAACAAAACAAAACACCCTCAGCAGCCAGAGTCCACCCCCAGGTCTGACTCAGTACAGTGGAGACCCCCGGACCGAGTGGGACCTGAACTCCTTCCACACCAAGGAGCAGGTGCTGGCAGCTGTGCACAGCCTCCGGTACAGGGGAGGAAACACATTCACAGGTAAGTCTTGAGCCTTGAGGTTTGGCTATTATGAAGCCCCTTGACCAACCTCCTTTTAATCCCCTTCCACCCCTGAACATTTGTATGATGGGCAGGTGCTGAACCCACTCCATACTTTAGAGAGCAAATTCCACCTGCACCCACCTCAACCTTCGGCAAAAGTGTGGAACTTTGGGCACCTTGTTGAGATCGAGTGTCTATGCTGATCATAGGCAGCTTCTGTCTGGGTCCCACTCAGCTGAACTCTCGGTCTCACAGGTGGCTCCTTAGAAGACACAGACATGGCCTTGCTGGGCCTTGGGTACCCTCCACAGCAGGCGTTGTCCCTGGTCCCCGGTGTCCTTAGTCTGGCAAGGAAGGACGGACAAGACGCGAGAACAGAGAGCCCTGGGATCAAGTGTGGGAGCAGCTGTAGCCGAAAAGGCACCTGAGGAGGGAGTGGTTGCCTGTCACTTTGTCCCTCATTTTCCTAAGGCCTCGCCCTAACCCATGTACTGGGGCAGAACCTGAAGCCAGCAGCAGGTGCCCGTTCAGAGGCAGCCAAGGTGTTGATTCTGGTGACAGATGGCAAGTCCCAAGATGATGTGCGCACAGCTGCCCGGATTCTTAAGGATCAGGACATCGATGTCTTTGTTGTGGGTGAGCCTGCACAGTGCCCAGGCCCTAGGTTAGAATGCTCATGGCTGGGTGGGCTCTGGGTCACAGACACATCTGTATTTGGGCTCACCTCCGCTGAAAGATTGGGTGACCTGCAGTTTCCACACCGATAGAGGCCAGAGCGTGAGACATGGCTGCACCTTGTAGCAGCATCTCAGTATCTGTCCCTGCCCACTTTGTTGTGACACTCCCCTAACTCCTTGCAGCCCTTCAGCTCACACTGCAGGTAGCCTTCAAATGGGTTCCCTGCCTGGCAACTGCTCTTGTGTCTGACAGCTCTCCTACCTTCTCCATCTGCTCCCCAAGCAAGGATTGTTCCTGGTGCTCTCTGGGGCATCAACCACACTCACTGCCCTGTGTTCGATGGGGAAGGAAACTTCAAGTGTAGGGGTTCCTCTAGGAGCCCTACTCTACCCATGAGTCCCCTCTTTTATGGACACCCGTCGCCAACATCCACATAGTCTGGCCCGCTTTCCAGAGCTCCCAGAATTAAGCATACTGGCCTCCCCTGGCTCATTCCTATGTCCCATTGAGATCCCATGGGATCTAGGTCATTGGCTTCACTGTGTGTCCTCCGGTATGCTGGGGACTCTGGCAGGTCTCTCCCCAGGGGCACTGTGTGTAAACAGGATGAGAACTCAGAGTGGCACACTCTGTTGGCCACCTGCTATCACGTGCTTTCCAAAGCAGGTGTGAAGAACGCCGATGAGGCTGAACTGAAGCTCCTGGCGTCCCAGCCACTGGACATCACCGTCCACAATGTGCTGGACTTCCCCCAGCTGGCCACCCTAGCTGCTCTGCTCAGCCGCCTCGTTTGCCAAAAGATCCAGGGCAGGGGCCCAGGTAAGGATGCAACCCCACAGTGACCGTAGGACAGGGAGGCTGAGGCTACACCTGGTCAGTTTTCATGGCCTGTACTAAACCAGGGGGATGTCTGTCCTTGGCTATGTTGGGAGAATTTTCCTGTACCTCCTGCACATGGCCACCAGGGGGAGCAAATAGACGCGCTTGCTTGCTCCCTAACTACCTTTCCCCACAGTCAAACCAGCAGAGGCTACTCTGGCCCTGGATCCCCTCCCCATGCCCACCAGACTTGTCCTCACCCACGTCACCTCATCCAGTGTCCACCTGTCTTGGACTCCGGCCTCATACCCACCCCTTAAGTATCTAATTGTGTGGCAGCCTTCTAGGGGTGGTGCCCCCAAGGAGGTAAGAGGGGGTCTCCTGGTTCAACCTCTTCTTGGGAGCTTGGGCTGACAGGACTCTGGCAGCCTGGCTGGGGGGGGGGGCTCTGCTGAGCTGTAGATGGGCCATAGAATGAAGGTCTCCAGCTCACTAAGTCCACATGAGACAGGAAAGCCAAGGGGGTGGACTTGGGAGGGGTAGCTATATAAGATGTATCCAACCAGACCAAGTCAGAGTGGGGAGCGCTAAGCAGTGACTGAAGACACCCAGATGTGGTTTTGATGACACACTGATAGACAAATGGATTGTTCCACTGTCTCGCCTGTCTCCATGGTACCTGGTGCTGCTCTGCTCTGTATGGGGACATATTTCAGGATGATGGGACCATGCCCCCCAAGTACACCCTGTTGACAGGACTTTTCTGCCCAGGTGGTGGTGGAGGGCCCTGTCTCATCCATGGAGCTCCGAAACCTGACCTCCAACACAGAATACATGGTCTCCGTGTTTCCTGTCTATGAGAGTGGTTTTGGCAAGAGCCTGCAAGGCTGGGCAACCACAGGTAGAGGGGTGACCTCCGTCTAGTCCTGCCCCTTTGGGACTACACTGCCAGGGCATAACTATAGGCAGCTCTGGGTCTAGAGTGTTCCCACGAGCCACCATTCCAAGCCTCTCTGACCCTGGTATCCTCTTTCAAACATCATTCCTTACTACTGCTGCTTAAGGTGTCCTAAGGCTCCTATCCTGTCTAACAACCAAAGCCCATGGCTGAGGCCACTAGCTCCCAGCTGTTCATGGACCCACCATGATGCCTGGCTAACAGCTGCGCTGAGAACTCATATGCCCTCACTCACCCACTTACAGGGGACAATTGATGGCTGTTAGTATTTTCAGGACTTTGCCAGGTGCAGTAGCACACACTGTAATTCCAGAACTAGAGGGGCAGAGACAGGTGGATGGATCTCTAAGTTCAATGCCAGCATGGTCTACATAATGAGTTCCAGAACAGCTAGGGTTACAAACAGAAACGGTGTCTCAAAAGACAGAAATATGAATAAATAAAAAAGCACAGTATATTCAAGGCTATATACACCAAGGCCATCATAGATCATATTTATTTCCCAAGGAAACTGTACATTTCATTGGTACCCCTGGTCCTTCTTCACCCAGCCCTGGCAACCTCGATTCTGCTGTCTGTCTCTAGTCATTCACAGAGATGGCTTCATATATTGTGTGTGTGTGTGTGTCTTTCAACCTGGAGGTTACATCAATCACTACCTTTGTAGCAAATTGCTTTAGGCCAGCAGGATTATCTGGCTCCCCCAGAACTGTGAGTTGAAAACTACAGCCCACTGACAATTGAGACAAGTGCTCTGATTGGTGGTTGTCTACCTGACTGTGCCCCATCTATACATCCCTACCTACTGAAAGTCTTATCATTGGGAAAAGGGTTTCTTTGTTCATGTTTATGAGTTCTGCATGTGCCACACCCCTAAGATTGCCCTGATGGGATGGTCATCCCCCCTCAGCACCCCTCCCTCCACCTGGGGCACTGACCCTGGCTTCAGCGACACCCAGAACCCTCCACCTCACCTGGCAGCCCTCTGCTGGGGCCACTCAGTACTTGGTGCGGTACTTGCTGACTGCCTCCCCTGGGGAGAAGCAAAGGAGAGAGGTGAGAGGTGGGAAAAGGGAGACAGGTGGGACAGATGGCAGGGCTTGGTGCTGAGACATGTGTTGCCGTGTCCCTGCCAGGTACATGTGGGACAGCCTGAGGTACTGCTGGAAGGCCTGGAGCCAGGCCGTGACTATGAGGTGTCAGTGCAGAGCCTTCGGGGACCAGAGGCCAGTGAGGTCCGGAGCATCAGTGCCAGGACCAGTGAGTAACCTTCCCAGGTCATGCATCCACAGAGCGGATACCGTGCTCTGGGTTTAGTTTGTTTGTTTTGTTGTTTTTGTTTTTTTTTTTTGAGACAGGATTTCTCTGTAGCTTTGGAACTAGCTCTTGTTCGAGGCTGGCCTCGAACTCACAGAGATCCACCTGCCTCTGCCTCCTGAGCGCTGGGGTTAAAGGTGTGCACCACCACTGCCCGGCTCCCTGCTCTGTGTTTTAGCTCCCTCCAGGGTAGGAGACTGTAGTAATATGAGCGGCGGGGCTGCGTCCCCAGCACCCCGGCCACCTGCTAGTTTATGCCCCGAAATAACAACACACAAATTGTATTCATTTAAACACTGCTTGGCCCTTTAGCTCTAGCTCTTACTGGCTAATTTTGATATCCCGATCAACCCATCTCTAATAATCTGTGAGCACCGGTCTTACCGGGAAGATTCTAGCCTAAGTCCATCCTGGGTTGGAGCTTCATCGCGTGTGTTTGCCCGGGAGCAGGGCATGGCGTCTCTCTGAGGCATCTGCCCCCGAGAGGAGAGCTGTCGAAACTAAGCTCACTTACTCTTCCTCCCAGCATTCTGTTCTGTTTACTCCTCCCACCTATGTTTTACCCTATGAGGGCCAGCCAAGCAGTTTCTTTCTTTATTTTTTTTAAATATTTATTTATTATGTATACAATATTCTGTCTGTATGTCTACACCAGACCTCATTACAGATGGTTGTGAGCCACCATGTGGTTGCTGGGAATTGAACTCAGGACCTTTGGAAGAGTAGGCAATGCTCTTAACCACTGAGCCATCTCTCCAGCCCTATTTTTTTTTTTAACCAATGACCTTCCTCCATCATTTCCCCTTTTTCTGTTTAAACAAAAAGGAAAGGCTTTAACTTTAACATAGCAAAATTACATATAACAAAACAGTTATTAAGCAAGAATTACAGTTGCAATATTTATATCTATTTTATCTTTTATCATAACAATGGAAAACTATAACTATCTATCCATTCTTCAACTCCATCAAAGACTCCAGAAGGATATAATATTACCTAAGTAAACAAGAACTAAGAAACTTCAAACTCTATAAATGACAAAGACATCTCGCTGCCTGGACAGTCACCCAAAGTTCCTCTGTACCGTTGGGGCATCCATCTTCAGCCTTCAGGCCCATGGTATCCAGCAGACATTTCCATAAAGCAGGAAAATTCAAAGTCAGTTCAGTCACTATCTGTTGTGTCCTGCAGAATGTCTCGCAGACTCTTTCATGAATCAGGAACCCCAAAAGATCATCTCACCTTTAGGCAGGTTCAGCAGTCCTCTCTCTGCAGGTTCTCTTTGTCCAGTTTATGCAACAGTCCAGGCAAGAACAGTTTCTTGCCCAAATGGCTATCAAACTCCATAAGGATCCTCTTTGATGCCCATCTTCTTCTTGAAGTAGATTGGTGCTGCCAGGAGCAGAGTGTCTCATTGTCATGAAAAGTCCTAAGTTATTAAACTATTTTAAATGCCATATTCTGTAGCCTTTGAGAGATATGAAGAATGCCTATCTGAAATATATCTCTATATATCTAGAAAATCCAAGTAACATGACTACAAACTTTACTATCATCGATGATTATCCATTAGCAACCTATATTTCCTATTATACATTACATTTTAAAAATGAACTACATAATCACAACACCTTATTCAAGATCAGAAATACATATACATATAACAAAATTGACTGTAAAATCCATACCAATGCAAATTATTCATACCTATATCATTTCCCCCTTTAAATGTAAAAGAACATTTATAAACCATATTTGGGAACATGGGCGCAGTTTTTTCTCTCCAAACTGCTTCCTGCTGAATGGGGGCGTCATTAATTAGGTCTTTCATGGTATAACCTGTGTGCTAGTTTCATCTCAGTTGGCAGTTGAGCGAAGCAATTTTCTGAAGATGTTCACAGAAACTTTTCAGGAGGTCGTGGTCTATCATACCATATCGGGATAGATGCAATCCATAGGGTCTGGTCCTCTGTGAAAACAAAAGAAGACCCTCTCCAAAGCCTCATATCCTTAGACCCAAATTTTGAAATCGTAATACCCTTATATCCATTCTGGTTTAGCTTGGCAGCCCATGTAATGAAATGTCTCTCTGTACTTAGCTCCTTCACAGTCAAAAATTTTAAAGAAAACACAATGTACATAATCCAGACTCTCTGTGAATTTTCCATTTTTACATGGCTTATTTTTCTTTATTTCTTTTAATCTATAACTATCTGTACTCTGTCTCTTTAAAGACTTTACCTTTTTTTTAAACCATTAACTTTATTCTCTATATTCTTTTTCTTCTCTCTCTCAAGCCTACGTACATTCATCCAACAGTGTGGTCTTTTATGTCTGAATCTGTTTTATTGTGAATCTGTAACATTTTTTTACTATCCAGGAGCATTTCTTAAAATGTTAAGCAGTTCTTAAAAACTTAAGTTGCACCATGTACAGGTAATATGGTACCATCTGTGTCCTGCCCAGTTGAAACCTTAAGTGCGCTGTTATTACAGTAATTACGGTAGTTCCTGCTGACCAGCAGGGAGCTTTCGCTCCTGCCTCAGATCCTTTTGGTGCCCCTGAGCAGCGCACAGTTCCAGGCACACAGCAAGTCCACATTGGAGCCACACTCAGCAGTTTAATTTTGAGACTGAGCATGCAGCACAGAAACTCTTTTCATCCAAGTTACAGCTAAATCTGACACGCAGAGCCGGAATCCGCCATGCTCTTCCACCTGCCTAAGCCTGATTCAGCCGGCTGCCCAGTTGCAGGCGGGATGCAGGCGGGAGCGCTGAGCCATCCATCCGCAGGGTCTCAGAGCACTCTCCTTCCGATCCCAAGCGGGAACAGAAACATCCAGTCCCCTAAAAAGCCTTTGAAATGCTTTAAAGCCAGAGTTCATGCTGGCAGCAAAGCCCCAGGAAGCTGCGCTTTAAAATGACGCAGCGTTTTTTATGCTGCTGTTGCCGCATCAGGAAATCTCTCTATAGCACGCCACCAACAAACAGCAAAAATCTGTGTTAAACTCTCTCTTCCTTTTTTTTTTAAAAAAAAATTCTTATATTTATTTATTATGTATACAATGTTCTGTGTGTATGTCTGCAGGCCATAAGAGGGCACCAGACCTCATTACAGATGGTTGTGAGCCACCATGTGGTTGCTGGGAATTGAATTCAGGACCTTTGGAAGAACAGGCAATGCTCTTAATCACTGAGCCATCTCTCCAGCCCTCTTCCTTATTTTTAAGCCTTCTCAGGTTTTTAAGTGGATTTAGTCCATCACGTCTGGGCGCCACTCTGTTGCATTAGGAGCGGCGGGGCTGCGTCCCCGGCACCGGGCCGCCCGCCCGGCTAGCTTTACCCGAAATAATTACACGGAAACTGTATTCTTTTAAACACCGCTTGGCCCATTTCTATCTAGCCTCTTCTAGGCTAGCTCTCGCACCTGGACTAGCCCATTTCTAATAATCTGCTGTAGCCCACGAGCTGGCTTACCAGGAATGATCTTAACCTGCATCTGCCTGGAGTGGGAGAATCATGGCGACTCCTTGACTCAGTTTCTTTCTTCCAGCATTCTGTTCCGTTTACTCCTCCCCCTATGTTCTAACCTATGAGGGCCAGCCAAGCAGTTTCTTTATTTTTTTAACCAATGACCTTCCTCCATCAGGAGACCACAGCTGACTTCAGATGCCCCATATGCTCCTCAGCCCTAGCACATCCCACCCTTTTCCCAGTCCCAAGTGTAGGGATGCCAGCTCCTGCGGCCTTGCTATTCTCTGCAGCTGCTCTGTGGCCCCCAAGACACCTGAGTTTCTCAGATGTGAACCACAGCTCAGCTTGTGTGTCCTGGGAAGCCCAGAGGCCCGTGCGCCTGGTCAAGGTCAGCTATGTCTCCAGTGACGGCAGCCACTCTGGACAGGTAAGAGCAGGGGCCCAAAAGTCACAAGGGCCTCCTGGGGGACCCAGAATCTTAGGTAGATTCGGCATTCCCACAGGCACTGGTAGCCTAGTATTCTTAGGCTCTCACCCCTTGTATTCTTCTTCCCTATGGACACCTTCAGTCCGGATCTGTTTATCTTCCTTTACATAACCTTTGAGATGGTGCAAGGGACACGGTATTGATTATGTCCCAGTCCACAAGGGGGCTGTGTCTGGCAGGAATTGGGGAAGACCTGAAGCAAGGACACATACATATACATTCATGCATAGCGATGTCACTCTGAGACTGTGGTCACACCAGACTGAAAGCCAGAATGGCTTGTGGGGCTAAAAGATGAGACAGGGAAAGGAGTCTCCACTAAGGGAACATTCTGAGGATCCTATTTTGAGAGCCATAGGCTAGCCTTGGCTGTAGATCCTGAGCCTAGATCCCCATCCTGTCAGGGGCTCATGTGCCTCTCTGATCTGCCTGTCTACCCCCCACAGACTCAGGTTCCTGGGAATGCTACCTCAGCCATCCTGGGCCCCCTTTCTTCCTCTACCAAGTACACCGTCCGAGTCACCTGTTTTTACTTCGGGGGTGGCTCCTCTGTGCTGACCGGCCATGTGACCACAAGTGAGTCAGTGACAGCAAGTCTGGGAGGAGCTGGACTGTGTCCTTATGTACTGCTGAAGGGCCTATGTTGGGTGTCTGACTGGCTGTACTAGGCCAGGTGGGTACAAGTGTCTGTACCGTGATGTAAGGTCTGCCAAGAGACAAGGGGCCAGGGCCACTACTCAGTACGATGGACCCTTAGGTCAACACCCTACACCCCATTTCTACCCCTGTCTTCCAGAGAAGGCTCCCAGCCCTATTCAGCTGTCTGTGGTGGAGCTCGCAGGAGATTCGGTCAAGCTATCATGGGTGGCTGCTGCCTTGTCTGGTGTACTTGTTTATCAGATCAAGTGGACGCCCTTGGGAGAAGGGAAGGCCCATGAGGTAAGGAAACAGGGGCAGAAGACCTTTCAGAGAAATTCCTATGGCCCCAGATCCCAAAACCATGGGAGACTTAGACTCTGTGTCCATCCATGTCCTGTATCTTGGGAATACCTGTCTGCCATAGCCTGTGATCCTGCCTCTGGAGGGGAGGTTCCCTATGATCCAAGCGGACCCCTGGACTCTCCTTTCTTCAGATCTCTGTCCCAGGGACCCTTGACACAGCCATCCTACCTGGCCTGATGAGTCATGTGGAGTATGAGATCACCATCCTTGCCTACTACAGGAACGGCACTCACAGTGACCCTGTGTCCCTCCGCTACATCCCCAGTAGGTGCCTTTTCCTCCACTCAGATGGGCTTGGGACAGGGGAAGCACAGAGGGGACCCAGACCCTCCTGGATCCACGTGCCCAGAACCTCATACTCCCACTGGCAAGCAGGCCCCCTGAGTTCCTGAGACCCTGGGCTGGACCATTGGATCCGAGCCCACAAAGGGTACAGGCTCTTGAGGTGGCTGAGGTTCAAATTCCCCAGCCAGAGTGACATAGCCTCTGTGTAAGACCTTCTAGGGATAGCGGGGTACTCATCAGGGGGCATTGTTAGGGCTGAGCAGGACAGAGCATAAGGTGATGGTGCAGGGACTGGCTGGCCGGCCTTCTAGCTGTGGGTACCTCCATTCTGGAGAGCCTTGCATTCCATGTTGTCTGTGCTACTGGATAGCCTCAGCAAGCAGGAACCCCCCATCCAGCCTGGTCTTGTCCTCGGAGACCCCCAACAGCCTACAGGTCAGCTGGACACCACCAAGTGGCCATGTCCTACATTACCGGCTCAACTATGCCCCGGCCTCGGGCTCTGGACCAGAGAAATCGGTGAGTCTATAAAGAGCCTCCCAGGGATTTAGGTGCTGGTTTTACCTATCGATTGAGGGTAGCAGCTTCTTTACAGAGGGAAAGATGGGCAGAGGGAGTACAGCCTTGGAAGGAGAAGGCAGCCTAAGAGGGAAGGCTCAGAGGCCTCCTCCCCTGCAGATCTCTGTGCCAGGCACCAGGAGCCACGTTGTACTTCCTGACCTGCTGTCTGCCACCAAGTACAGGGTCCTGGTCTCAGCCGTCTATGGAGCAGGAGAGAGTACAGCAGTGTCTGCCACCTACCGCACAGGTTGGTAGGCACCAAGACTGCGACTCCTTCTAAACCTCAAACCCACGCCAGACTCCAGGTCCAGATAGACACTGTCAGACCTTAGGTTTGGTCACATCCCAGACTAGGCCAGATCTCACTCAGTGAGACCTCATAGCCAGTAAGAGCTCAGAAGCCAGTGCACCCCAGAGCCAGTGAGGTCCCAGGCCCAACACAGACTGGAGAGGCCATGGAGAGTGGGGTGCCCAAAACAAGTAGAGTGGGCTGATCAGAGTGACTGGGGAATGGATGGAGAGTGTGGAGAGTTCTACCCAGAAGAAACCTGTCATTGATACCACAGGACATAGTCAGGTCTCTGGTGGCCTGGTAGCCTCCAATCCACAAGGCCAGGATCAGCTGCTCAGGGCACAGGGCCTTCAAAGTCCATGAAGCTCACTGCCCCAGCTATAATATCCCATCTTGGATTATCCAGTCATAGCCCAAATGCCTGTGATGATTGGTTCCTCAATGCTCAGTGAATGGCCACTGTGACTGGAACACTGGCTGTGGCTTCAGGGTCAGCCTGTATCTCCTCCCCCAGGCCTGTGCTAGTTGCTGTACCCAGTCACCTCCCTGGCCCTACCATCTGGTGCCGGGGGGCTCACTTTGGGCCCATAACTTTTTGTGTGCGGTCCCCAGTGGAACCTTGGCTTTGGCCCTGGGTGCACAGGGTAGGCAGAGGTACCTGCTCACTCGGTGAGATCCCGGCATGGCAGGGAGGGATGGAGTGGCAGGGTGGGCATTGCAAAGGGAGGGAAGTGGGGCTGTGCAGGTCCATCTGTGCTCACCAGAGGCCTGAAATGGCCCACAGAGCGGTCCTTTTGGCAGTTGGACTAGCTTTGGTGTGATTCACTGGACACTCTTTGTCCTCCCAGCAGCCTGCCCAGCCCTGAACTCGGACAGTTCCCTCTCAGGTAGGTCCTGTACGTCTCTGTCAGCTGTGCCTTGTCATTTGCCTCCTCTGCTTTGCTTGACTCTTCCAAGGTTGGGGCGGAGCATTCACCTCTGCTTTGCTTGACTCTTCCAAGGTTGGGGCGGAGCATTCATGACCCAGGATCAACCACAGGGTACTTTTCAGGTAGCCCGGTCAGGTAGCCCGGAAGCCGTCAGGGAAGTTTACTTTTGCTTCATCCAAAGTTAGTATTGGTGTGTGCAGGGTGTGTGCAGGGTGTGTGCAGGGTGTGTGCAGGGCGGAGGCAGAGCTGGCTAGCCCCACTTGGGCCCTAGGTGGCTCCCTACTGCCAGGCATCTGGGGTAAGTCATGCCAAGCCTGGAATCCTCATGAGGACTATGCAAGAGTGTGGAGAACAGATGTTTAACATGAGGCATGTCAGGGGATTCTTCCAGCAAGGGAGGGCCTTAAAAGTACTGAGTGGACAGATAGGCTTTGTGATAGGAAGGCTGTATCTCACCTGAATCCCAGCAAGAGAGTCTGCCTGAGGCTTCCACTGCCCTGAAGCTGGCAGGGATGGTGAGTGGTGAGATCCATGAATGGAAGGACCCATGGAATGCAGGGCCAGTGGACAGATGGGCAGGCACAGCTGCTTCCTTAAAATGGGCCTCGGAAAGGCTGAGCCTCTGCACCCTTGAGTCTGGTGGTGCATAGTTAAACACCAAATTCCTATGTGATCTCACTCCCTGATTTGTGCCAGTTAATGCTATAAAAGGAGCTGGTACTTGGAGGATCAACCATGACACTAATCATCCCAGTGACTGGTATGCCAGTTCAGCTTACAGCTGGGGTCTGGACCCTAAAGGGTCCTCAGGCTACAAGGAACAAAAGGGGCTGCTTGAAACTTCTACTCTGGCTAGAGGGGAATTCACCAAGGTCTTCCTTAAAGGGAACAAACTTGGAGCTGGGTTGGGGCAGAATGTGGGTCCTGTTTGGTAGGTGTATGAGGCAGGTGGCTGGCTCTGAGTGTCAGGGGTTCCACTGTGTCCTGTATATGGCTTTCCAAGCTGGGGCATTTGGGTGAGCGATTTCCCCACTGTCAGAACTGGAATAGAGGAAGGGGAGCAGGGATAGACGTCAGCCTAGAGAGAAAGGGGCTAGATTCTCCTCTGGAGGGTGGAGCTGTGCTGGGCCCACAGCCACCTCTAAGACCCCATCCCAGGCCATCTTCTCAGGCCCTCTCTTCGACATCCTGCCCCCCTCTAAGTCGAATCTTTGCCCCTGTCCCTCCCTCTTTCCTGACCGTTCCATTCCCTGTTCCAACAGGGTTTGACCTGATGGTGGCCTTTGGTCTCGTGGCAAAGGAGTATGCCTCCGTTCGAGGTGTGGCCATGGAACCCTCGGCCCTGGGTGCGGCCCCCACCTTCACGCTCTTCAAGGATGCTCAGCTGATGCGGCGAGCCAGGTGCGAGGGGCAGAGGAAACCGTAATACAAGAAGAGGTTGTGTGCCAGGTGATGTTGGTGCACACCTTTAATCCCAGCACTCAAGAGGTAGAAGCAAGTGGAACTCTGTGAGTTCGAGGCCAGCCCGGTCTTCAGAGTGAATGTCAGGACAGACTCCAAAGCTACACAGAGAAACCGTGTCTCGACAAACAGAGAGAGAGAGAGAGAGAGAGAGAGAGAGAGAGAGAGAGAGAGAGAGATTGTACAAAATGAGGTAGGAAGAGTTAACATGGGCTCTGCCATGACCCTGGCCCATAACTGACCAGCCTCTGACACCATATCAGCAAACCATAGACTGGCTGGCCTCAGCCCTATACTCCAGAAATTCTCATTTGACAGATTAATGAAGCCTTGTGTGTGGGAGTAGGCTCCGTGCCCAGCATGACTTGAAGCCATGCCTGGGTCTTTTCCATATGTAGCTCAGGGATCATTCACATTCAGAAAATTCTGCATATAAGCCATGACACCATTCCCTCTGCGTTGTAGCCTGACGATGGGCAAATCTACTACCATCCTTGGTTTGTGAGAAGTGGGTGCTTTCCAAGAAGGCATGAGAAGGCACATGAGGTCCCTGTTATCTAGGAGACACCAATTTCTGCTTACCCTATGCATGAGCCATTAACCTGAACTTGATGCACACAGTGTGACCAAGCAGCAGTCTCACTTCCCACATCCTGAAATAACTGAGACCCAGGCATGTAACGGAAGTATAAATAAGGCCTCACAGAGGTATGCAAGGAGCGCTGGAAAGCTCTGACCATCACACGCTCCCATGAACAAGAAAGGAGGCCACAGGTAGACAGAGCATGGCCCCATGGGCTCACCCAGCAGTTTGGGGTCCAAGTGCAGGCAGCAAGCTGGGGGTCTTCTTGTTCAGGCTCCTCCGTAAGAACCGCTAGAAACTTTGGGCAGGTAGATGCAGCAGCCTCCTGGTCAAGCAGAAGAGGGGTTGGAGATGTCCTTCCTGTCCACTCAGCTGAGACCCACACAGGCTCACCATCTTTGTCTATAGCTGCATCAATTAGTTAGTGGTTAGATATGGGTAAATAGCAATGTCTTCCAACATTTATTATTTTGTTGCTGTAAAACCGTTGCTGGTGATAGTCGGCGCTTGTCCTCTGGATACCCACACTCCAGTTCCTCGCGATCTTCCTTCTCTGGGCATCTCAATAGCCTTCCCATCCATTATCCCCTACTGTTCCTACCCTGAGGGCTATACATACCACTCTTCCTCAGAGCCTGGCTCCATCTCTCACTTAAAATTTGACAGGCATGCTGGCCGATTCCATTTCTTTAGAGCTATGGTGATCACTAAGTCTGACCTTATTTCCTTGTAGCCAGGAATGGACTTGCCACATCTGATATTTCTTATTTTGTTTCTTGAGGACTCTCCATTCTGCTTCCCATAGTGGCTGTACTAATTTACAGTCCCAACACCATTCAAGGCTCTCCTCGCACCTCGCTCCACCAACACTCAATAGGTTGTTTTCCTGACAGCAAGGTGGTTTCTCACTGTTTACATTTCCTCAGTGATGGTGATGTTGAGAGCTGTTCTATCTGCATGATCTATTTTTACATTTTCTCCTGAGATGTGTCCTTTGAGGCAGGCATGGCCATGGCCACACGTACTTTGTGCTTGACCTTGTCATCAAGTGTCCCTGATCTTCGTGTAGGTTTGGCATAGCTGGCTGCCCCTCGTCTTAGTGACAGTCTCTTGGTTCCCTTCACCAACCTCTTCCCTCCCCCTTGTCTTTGCTACTTGCTGTCCCTGTCTCTATTCTTACCACACAGCCTAAACCAAAGCTGCCCACATTCCCAGTAGTGAATTCCCTTAATTGTTCCTCTCCTCAAATGAGTGATTTTTCCTGGAGTTCTCTCTCTATCTATTTGCCTTTCTGGGACTCCAAAAGAGGGTGGGACAATTAACTAGCTTCCTCGGAGTGCTCACTTAGCTGCTGAGAGTAGAGGAGTGGAGAGGCTGCCTGAGGGAGGCACTTGTGAGGCTCTGTGGTTTATTTAGAGAATTGTAATGTCGTTCTATGTGTGGCGGCACCTGGAATCCTAGACCTAAGGAGGCCAAGAAAGGATCACTGTGTGTCTAATGCCAGCCCTGGCTATGTTGTGAGTTCCTGTCTCTAAGAAGAAAGAACTATAGGATCATGACTGAGGTGGTATTTCTCTAGCTCTTGGCTTTTGTCCTAAGAGCAGATGAAGGTGAAATAGGAAGATTGCAGACTGGTAAGAACAGTCTTACAGAGTGACTCAAGACCCCATTCTTTGCCCTTGTTCTGCCCTTAGAGAGCCTGGATCAGCATGGGCATGGATTTCCCCACTGCCCAGTCTGATAACTCAGCATATATACTCAGTGGGAGCAGCTCTTGAGTCCCAGGACTGTTCCAGGGACCTTCCTGCTAGAGTCTCCTTGGTCAGGCCCCTTTTAACCCACAGTGCCACTGAGCATCAGGGGCTTAGTAGCCCTTGCACAGTGACTTCCACTGTAGCCTTGGCCTAGTTTTGGGGAGTAGAGGATCTGTTGGCCTAGGGGCCTCGGCACTAATTCTTGAACACTAACAGTTTTGGGTAGGGGGATGCTCTGCTACACTCCCGTGATCTTTACAGAGAAACCGAGACAGGAAGACCTGAGCTCAGTCCTCTGAAATCTGCTCCGATCCCCTGTCTCTCCAGTGATATCTACCCAGCAACTCTGCCACCAGAACACACCATTGTCTTCCTTGTGCGCCTACTCCCTGAGACACCCCGAGAAGCCTTTGCGCTGTGGCAGATGATGGCCGAGGACTTCCAGCCCATTGTTGGGGTTCTGCTGGATGGTGACTGTGGGCCCCGTATCACCCTTGGCAGTTGAGAGGGATGGGGCCCCTGCTTATCTTCCTCATCTCATAACACATAAGGATGCCAGCCCCCAGGCCAAACTGTGGGTTCCCCCAGGCAACTAGGCATGAAAGCCCATCTTCAGTGAGAGCAGATATCCTGGATACCACTGTGTCTTTGTATTATGGGGGCCCTACTTGGACCTTGGGTCAGCCCTTTGTTCTCTCACTGCCAGCGTCTTCCAGCTCACTATTCTCTTCTGCTCCCTATCCTCCCTGGCAGCTGGCAGAAAGTCTCTGACTTACTTCAACCATGATCCCAGGGCAGCCTTGCAGGAGGTCACCTTTGACCTGCAGGATGCAAAGAAGGTTTTCTTCGGAAGCTTCCACAAGGTCCTGGGAACTGTCTGCCCAAGCCCTGCAGGCCCTGACCCTCTGGCCTGGCCTTCTCTGCATGTGGTTGTCTCCCAGTCAAGCGTTGATCCACCTAGGGCCCTTGACCCTGATGCTCCTCTATTATGATTTTCCCTTCTTAATTTGGGTCAGAGAGCAAATTCTTCTCTCTGGGAGGCTCCTGCAGTAACTTCCCCTGGGGAAGCTGAGGCCCCAGTAGGTCCCAGAGTGGAATTGGGATCTGACCCCACGCCCTATGTGCTGGGCCCCCTTAAAATCTGGTTTTGACCTGGTGTGGGGTGGGAAACTCACTATGGTTTCTATAGGTCCACGTGGCTGTAGGCCACTTCAAGGTCAGACTTTACGTGGACTGTCGGAAGGTGGCTGAGAGGCCTATCGGGGATCCTGGCAGCCCACCCACGGCTGGTTTCATCACACTAGGGAGGCTAGCCAAGGCCAGAGGGCCACGGAGCAGCTCGGCCACGGTGAGTCTGGGCCTTGTCTCATGGGGCGGGTGGGCTCTGCCTAGGAGGCTGATTTTCCCCCTGCTACACAGTTCCAGCTCCAGATGTTGCAAATCGTGTGCAGTGATACCTGGGCAGACAAGGACAAGTGCTGCGAGCTTCCTGCATTGGTAGGTGGCAGCAAGGTCCTGGACACTGTCCTTGACCCTGTGAGAGGACCACCAAGGGCCACCCAGTCTGTGTAGATGGCCTGTCTAGACCCTTGCTGAGAGAGACAAAAGCAGACTTTCTGGACGAGGTGGTCAGGGGCCTGAAGAGAACACGTGAGGACATCCCATTTCCACCCATAACAGCTACATGTCAATTGGCAGTCCCTGGTCAGCTCTAAGGAGAAGCTGCTCCCCCTTCGCTATAGGCCCAGGCAGAAGCTCATTCAGGGAGGCTGTGGAACCATCCTAGGTCTGCTTCTGGGGACTTAGCTATCCCCATTAGTCCCTTGAGAGCTCACGCTGAATTTGGCCATGCTAGGAGCCTGGGAGAAGAGCAGGGGAAAGGAGCTATAGCACTCATGTGGGTATCCAGGAGGGACACAGTCTGCTGCACACACAGGATTTCGCAGCCTTCATTCTGACCTGCCCCACCTCTGGTGATGACGCTAGACGCTCCCTAGAGTCAGGTGTCCTTTGACCATGCTGAGTCTCAAGCTCAGATGAGATCCAGAGGGGGTGGGGTCCATTGAGCAAATGATTTCTTTTCTTCCAGAGGGATGGAGAGACATGCCCAGCCTTCCCTTCTTCCTGTGCCTGCTCATCTGAGACCCCTGGGCCACCAGGGCCCCAAGGCCCTCCAGTGAGTCCAGTGTCTCCTTTCCTGGGAGTGACCAGGGACTTCTGCTGCCATTGGTGGAGGCAGAGTGGTTGATGGACCTCCCACACCACCTCACGCCAGCTTTTAGGAAGCCAAGCCCACCAGCAGCCTCCCAGCCATGTTACACAGAGGACAGACTTCCTTATGCTTCTTCTACAGCCATTATAGGCCCAGAAGCCCAGTCTGGCTGACACCTCTGCACACTGGCTGAGCTTTTCTCTCTTATATATGTCCTCCATCTGTGGGCAGATGCTGGCCTTTCTCGACAGAATGAGCCCAGGTCCCACTGGTCTCCAGGACTGTGCTGGTAGTGGCTGGTGGGCTATGATATGGCAAACTGCGAACCAGCTCTGCTCTGGGTACTGGCCCTCAGAGGATGGTCATACCTCTCTGGTCCTTTCTCTGCAAGCCCAAGGCTTCTGGCCAGTGGCAATGCTTCCCGAGTCAGAGGTCACAGTACGCCTACCAAGGGCACTTACTTTGCACTTGGCCATCCTCAGGCCTCCTTGTATAAAGGCCCAGGGTGTGACCTCAGATCTGCCTGAATCCAGTGGGTGCCCATCAATGAAGGGGAGGACAGTAAGGACACCTTTGATGTTGGAGGATCCTGTTCCTCCCAGCAAAACAGACAGGAGTCCAGGACTGGAGGAGGCTGGGTATCGGCGGGGGAGCCTGAGTGGAACTGAGGATTATGATGGGGCTGTGTTCAGTCCTATCTGTATCTTTACAGGGCCTCCCTGGAAGGAATGGCACTCCAGGACAGCAGGGACACCCGGGGCCCAAGGTAGGTCTTGTGAAGTACAGGAGCCGTGTGCCTGATCTGACCTGCAGCGGGAGGATCCCGCACTTTCAGAGCACAGGGAGCAGTTGCATGGCCTTCTGTGTTAGGTGAAAGGGCTCCCCACTGTAGATAAGCAGGGGTCTGATATCACAAGGAAATCAGAGATTATTCTGGGCTCTCCTATCCCCTGCCAGACATCTGCACCTGAACCAAGTATTGTGTCAGCACATATGGTCTAAGAGGCCACGCCCCAGTAGGCGTGTGACCACAAGCTGTAAGATTTCCTACAGCACCTTCCCCGTTTGTTTAAATAAGAGAGTTTTAAACCTAATACAAAATTATATACAATAAGAACAAATATATTTAATCATTATCCTATTTTCACTAGTTTAAATCTTGTGAGATAAATAACTTGGCCAAGTCACAAGAGGAAAGTAACTACAATTATCTAGTCTTCAACCCCATTGAAGATCCGAGAAGGGAAATAATATTACTTGAGTAGCAGGAAGTGCAATCAGCAACTTTCAAAATATGCAACAAATGACAGAGACAGGATCACCCATATGGCACAGGTGGGGAAACTGAGGAAGCCCAGTGGGTGCATCCAGATTGCCTAGCTCTTCAACTGTCTCCTCATTCCCCTCTGCAGACACTTGCTAACTCATTCATCCACAGCGCACAGGGAACTGGGTTCCAGAGTGATTTCAGACATGGTTAGCCTCTGAGATGATGCCATCTACAGGGTCTGTGGGCTTGTTGGAGGGAGGGTCTGACTGTGCAGAGGTTTGTGGGTTTGTCAGAGTATGACAAGATGTGAAATTAATATCTGTATCGACTGGGCTGGCACCAGCAGCCCAAAAAATGACTCATTTTAGAGTTGATCTCGGTGAGGAGTAAAACGAGCTTATTAGGGATTACTTAGAGACAAATATAGGCAACATTTTGCCCTCCATGTGAATCTCAGCTCAGAACACTGCTAGTGTTAAAGCAGTTGGTGTGTGTTCTGTTCTTACCCTCATCAGGGATTCTGCTGGTCTTAGCAAACACAGTCTGATTGTGGGAATGACGGAGGTTTGCTGTAGTCTGACAGATAAACCAGCTAAGTGATAGTCCATTGCAGGATGGTGTCCTCTAACTAGATGCTGGAGAATTGGTCTCTCTACACAGGGCAGGATCTGGCTCTGTAAGGTCTATGGGTTTGCTGGGATAAGGGTCTTGGGCTGAGGTGTGGGCCGTGGAAGGCAGTGTACGTCGGTAGCAGTACTGCCCCCACAGTGGCCTACAGGGTACCACTCTAGGCCACAATGCCACGTGTACAGAATATGAGTCGTACAGGGGTGGCAGCTGTTGGGATATGCTCCTTCTCTGCATCGACACCTTCACCTCACAGCCTTCCGGGGTGTCTGTCCTCACACCCTATCCTGCCCTGACCCTGGCACAGTGCCTCTTGGAGGGACTGTGTGAACTCAGACAGAGCTGGCTGAGGTCTTCTTACTGTGGACATGTTTAGATAGTAGTCAGCCTTCTGTCAGAGAAATGTTCAGCTCTCTCCATTGTCAAGGCGCTGCAGTACTCTACCCTATATGCACACATTTTGCTGCAGTTCGAGTCCCCAGGGATGGATGCCTGTGCCCTTATGAGCTGTCCTCCTCGGAAGCTCCCCTGGAGAGCCATCCGCTCTCTAGGCCACTCCTGGATAACTAGGTGATGTCAGGTAGTCTGGTGGGTGAGAATGGGCATAGCTATGAGGTGTTGTTTGTTTGTGAGAGGGTCTCGCTGTGTATCCCATACTAGCCTGGAACTTGCTACGCTAGCTCAGGTGCCTTTTGGAAGCGGCCAGGATTTTATTAGAAGTGTGTCCTCCAACTCTCCACTGTCCTGTTTGGTACTTGTGTGTCCTCCAACTCTCTGCTGTCCTGTTTGGTACTTTTGTGCCCCTTGAACTTGTTTGTGACTGGTTTCAGTACAGATTTTTAGGATAATTTTTCTCTAGTCTACATCACTGCTCTGTCTCTTCTGGAGTTTGAATTTTGTAGGCTCTTTTAAAAGGCCTCCCCAGGTGGGCAAGATTGCTCTGATGTGAAGACGCTTGTCACCAAGCCTCCATGCACCTGATTCTCAGGCCCCACACGATTAAAGGACAGAACTGACACTCACAAGTTATGCCCCGACCTCCACAGGTGTCCACAAACACTAAATAAACACAAGTTACATACAATTAAAATTTAAAAGGCTTCCCTCAGTCTGAACTAGATGAGAAACATCCTATAGTTTCTCTGGATTTTGGGCATTATGGACCCGCACACGTTAGTTCATCCCAGCTTGCTTGGTACAAGATGCAGGAGTCATGTCCAGTCCTTGAAAAGTCAGTCTCCAGCCCCCGTCCCCTGAGGACTAAGCCTGGCTAGTCAGTACCATCTTCACCTAGTCCTGCCTCCGAAGCACACTTCACCCTCCTTACTGATTTGTCTACCAGGCCACAGTCTGGCCTGACCAAAGCTTTCCTGTCCACTGGATAGGGCCAAGCGTCACGAATGACAGTTGGCTCCTATACCTACAGCTTCAGCGTGGCAGATCCAACCCACAGCAGCTTGTGTGTACGCTTGCATGTGCAGATCAGAGGACAGCTTTGTGGAGTCCGCTCTCTCCATCCACCTTTACACGAGTTCCAGGGATTGAACTCACGTTACCGGGCTTGTGCAGTGAGTGCCTTTACCCACTGAGCCATCTTGCCAGCCCAGTCTGGTACTCTCCGGAACATTGCTGGTTCTCTTTGCTGATTCACTGCAGACTGTAGAACTCGCTTGTCCCTACACTGGGAAATGCAGTTGGTGTTTTCATTGGAACCAAGTTCAGGTTAGAACTGTACTTAGGAAGAAGTGGTGCTTGCAGAATTTGCATTTTCTCATCCAAGAGCATGGCATCCTGTTTGCTGATAGGCTCGGGTTCATGCCTAAATATTGTTTCTTTTTTGTTGCTAGCGAAAGTGGCTGTCTTTGTTCTCATTACAGCTTCTCTTGTGGTTTTTGCACAGGCTCTTTCCCTGAAGGTTACTTTTGTATCAGAGCTTCTTACATGTCTTATTTTTGGTATATTTTATAATCCATGTTTTTTAGATTCACATAAGATCACCTACATAGTTACTTTTTCTTCTCCTGCCCAATGTTTATAACTCTGGTTTCTTTTTCTTACTTGGCAAGTAATTCAGAACTCTGTCAAATGGTATCATGTGATAGTACAGATGTCTTGGCTTAATAGTAATTAATTAAATACAGCGCCAATTCAGACACTAAAACAGATATTCATTTTCATGTGATAACAAGATTCCTTTAATCCTAATTTATTTGAAATTTGAAAAAACAAATCAAACAGACAGTAAATAAAATGTGTATTATTTGTTCAGTGGTTATGGACATGATCAAGCAATTTTCTTCTTGAAGCAACTTACTATTAATTTTGCTGTTTCCCCACATGCCAATACTCTTGCATCATTATGAAGCCAGCATGGTGATAGCCCTCACCACTGTTTAGTATGTGGCACTGCTCTGTATGCCAGAGTTTTATTTATAGTTGTGCATTAATAAGACTGAGCAGTTTGCTGCATCCTATTTGGAACACTGATTTGCTTAATTAAAAAAAAAAACAATTTGGAAGTATTTTCCCCTAAGGTCAGTTTAAATATGTCTGGTGTCACCGTCCCTTAGAGCTTGGCTATCTAGTGAGAACTGAGTTTGGTGTTTGGGCGTCAGAGCTTAAGGAGATGCCCCTTTTGCCCCCATGCGGCAGCCCACTAATGCCCCTTTTGCCCCCATGTGGCAGCCCACTAATGCCCCTTTTGCCCCATGCGGCAGCCCACTAAGTTCCTTCTCTCCTCTTGGTGATTTCTGGGCACATTTCCTCTCCAAGCCCCACTAAACCCAGAGCAGAATAGGAGAACTGAATAGAGATGGGGCGGAAGAACTGGCTTCAAATCCTGACTCAATGTTGGCTTGTTTGTGGCTCTGGATAAGTGGCCAGGGTCTGGCTGTGCCCTAAAGACAGGGTCCCAGCAGGATCCATTCAGGGTAGGCACAAGGGGACTTTTCTTCTCCAGTTAAGGTGCCTGTGGCCCCCTATGAAAACACAGGGTGGTGGACAGTGCTGAGGGCAGGTAGTGAGTGCAGAGGGACAGGGGACATGCCTTCTCGGTCCTTCCAATGCTTCTTGTGTCTCCAGGGAGAGCCAGGACCACCTGGACAGACAGGACCCAAAGGCCCTGGAGGTCAGCAGGGGTCACCGGGGACCCAGGGCCGCACAGTCCAGGGACCCATGGTAGGTACTACTCTGTACCCATCTTCTTCTGTTTTGTCTCTTTTCCCTGTCTCTCAGTTCATCTTCTCCTCCAGGGTCTCCCAGGAGTCAAAGGAGAGAAGGGAGACCATGGACTCCCAGGCTTGCAGGTAATGGGTCAGGGTGATGGCAGGGATATGGGTAGGAGTCTCTTCTACATATGATGTTGGTCCCTGCCTGGTGGACTATCTTTGTTCCCTTCCAGGGCCTCTCTGGCCAGCAAGGCATCCCCGGGAAAACTGGCCTACAGGGACCAAAGGTACTGGCTCCAGGTCCGGGATGATGTGTGGGAGAGAGTGGGCCCAGGTAGAGGCTTAGAGAAAAAGGCTATGGGGAGTGAGCGGGTGAAAAGTCTTCTCCCTCCACCCGAGGCTTCATTTTCCCCGCTCTCTAAGGTCTGGCTAGGAAGAAAGGTATCTCAGTCCACATTAAGGATAAATGGTGTCACCCTGGGGTGGGGTGAAGGGAGGCAGCTCCTCTAATCAGAGCTGGGGCAATTGTACATCCCACCTTCTCAGGGTGGGTCACCTTCTAGGGACTGTACTGGCGTAGACCCAAAGGGAATCACATTTGTAGGAGAGAACTGCCACTGAGAATAGTGTATCAGGGGCTGTTGGGGTGGGCACCATAAAGGGCAAGGATGGATATAAGCCCCCATCTTAGATTTCCCCTCCTCTGCCCACCAGGGAATGAGGGGACTGGAAGGACCTGCTGGCCTGCCTGGACCACCTGGCCCCAGGGTAGGCTCTGCCCGGACTCCTTGAGGCTCCCTGGAGCTGGACAGCTAGTTTGAGAGAAAGGCATTGAACGTCACCTGCTACTGTACAGACCACTTTAGAGGAGGGACTTGTTCCTGCTGTGGCCTTCCACAGGGCTCTGCTGCCGTCTGAGTGTCTGTACCTGGGAGTACCCCAACTCTAACCCAGAAAAGACCTTTGCCCCTGGAGCAGGTTCCTATGGGAAGAGAACCTGCAAAAGCCCAATCGTATCTAACTTTCCAGGGCAAGAGTGCCAGGACTCCTGACGGCCTGGTCCGGGTAGGCGGCTAGCCCGGCTAAACCGGCTAGACAGTGATGCTGTTCCTACAGCTGTTCCAGCACCTGGGACATCAAAGACAGCCCTATGACCCTGCAGAAAAGCTGGGGCTTTCTCACCTTGAGAAGACATTCCTTCCTCAATCCCAGGGGTTCTTCACCCTGAGCTTTGTACCCAGTGAACCTCTGAGAGGGTACCTCAGGCCAGCAGCCGAGACTTACTGGGATATACTGCAAGCCCACTGTGTTTCCGCCAGAGCCTATCAGGGGGCATCTCAGTGTAGCATAAACACTAGTGAACAGCTGGGTGAGGGGTGGGTGGTCTACTCTGAATGCTGAGTGAGGGTCGGATGCCTGTACTAAGTACCAAACAGAGGTAGGGTTTGTTCTGGGTGCCGGAGGAGTGGCTGGAGGGGTCTGCCCTTAGCTCTGAATGAAGATTAATAGTCTGTCAGAGACACTGGTCTGGGAACAGGACCTGGAGCATTGATGGAGAGGGGAGCAAGGTCTGAGAGCAGCTAGGGTTAACTTTGCTGGGCAATGGGACCCTGAATATCAAACCAGGTCTGGGGAAGGGAACAGACTCCTTGGGGCCTAAACTCTGATAGCTGCATTTCTTTTACAGGGGTTCCAGGGTTCGGCAGGGGCCAGAGGCACCAATGGAGAGCGAGGACCTCCAGGGGCAGTGGGGCCCACAGTAAGTACCCCCTTCCTTCCAGCAAGGCAGCCAAGTGACGGGGATGGTACAAGCGCAGGTTCAGAGACTCCATGATTGAAGATCTGCCTGTCCAGAGCTTCTCCTAGCTTCCATGGAGGTACAGAACTGGAAGGAGGCAGCAGCTGACTTTCGGGGGTTCTAGTTCCCTGAGAGGCCACCTTAGCCTTCAATCAGGAGGAGTAAGGTTCCAGTAGCTCAGGGCCCCTTACTTAAGTGGGCTCCGTAGTGTGGGCATGATGGAAAGGAAGAAACAGATGAGTAGGAGTTTTTGGCCCAAGCCTGCCTCCGGGCCAAGGGAGGGTCTGTTCTCAAAGCAGCATTCCAGCTGTTTGGGACCTCTGCCTGCACCCCCCTTCAGCACAGCTGGGGGTAGGTTCTCTGCAGCTCATTCTAGATCCCCTTGGAGCTGTTCCTGATGTGGATGTCCAGCTTCAGTTGCTCACTCTGGGCAGGAGCTGAGGACATACATTCCTGGACCTTGGTAGCTGGGCTGGGGCTTTAGCACTGCATCAGGGTGGAGTCAAGATTACCACATGTTGCTATGCCTGCAGTGCCTTGTCTCTACACTGATAGCTCTTTTCCTTTACCGCCTGCTACAGGGTCTACCGGGATCCAAAGGTGAACGAGGAGAGAAGGTGAGTAATGGCCGTATTCCAGACATTGGGACTCCCTATCGGCACCAGCCATGGGCACCAATGCCATGTCCTCCTTCCAGGGAGAACCACAGTCCCTTGCCACCATCTTCCAGCTGGTGAGCCAGGCCTGCGAGTCAGCCATACAGAGTGAGTGACGCCCACCCTGCCCTGCCTCAGCCTCCCTGACAAGGCTGGTCCCCAGCTAATGTCTTCTTCTTCTCCAGCACATGTGATGAAGCTGAATTCCTTCCTCCATGAGAATGCCCGGCCCCCAATGCCCTTCATGGTGGACACAGCAAAGCCAGGCAAACCTGGGTCTGTAGAGTCTCCCGGATCACATAATGAGGATCTACTTCGTGGAGACGGGGGACATGTCCACCATCCCGAGGACCAAAGTAACAGGCTTTCTGCTCTTGGGAGGGATTCTAGAAGTAGACAGTGGCTGGTTCCCTGCTCATGCGAGTATGTGTGTGTGTGTGAGTGTGTTTCCTCCTTGTCAGTCCCTTTACCCAAAGTTGTCTTAATGAACCAGGAACAGCCTGGGATATCCTCAGGTGACCCCACCCCCAGGTGACCCCTCTCCCAGGTGACCCCACCCTCAGGTGACCCCACCTCATTGCTTCTCTGGTCACTGAACCCACACGAAGATACTTGCTTGGGGCTCAAAGAGTACTTCTGTCCTGAATGCTCAGCCTTTGGCCAAGGGCTGAGCCTCATGCTTATCCTGAGAGGACCCAGCTTCCCTCTGGAAAGACAGGGCAGAGAAGCTGAAGCTGCTACATTCCCTGACCCTGCAATGTCCCCCTTTCCTCTCAGGTGAGCCATCAGCCATCAGCCACACAGGCAGCCCTGGACTGCAGGAAGGGAAGATCCCAGAATCCTTGGGGTGAACAGGTGAATTTCCATCATCATGCTAGCCATGGAGCAAGAAGGAGGAACAGCCTGAGTAAAGGATACGTACTTGGGCTGCACAGTGAGAGGGCAGGAGATGGTGCTGGCTCCATCTCAGAAGCACCGGTCGTGAGAGTGGGAAACCGGTTGCCTGCAGACTCTCACTGGGCCAGCGAGTGTGGAGGAGCAATAGGGTAGAGCAGAGGTTTGAGCTGCAGGAGTGTGGGTGCTCATGGACCTGGGAGGAGGGATTACAGGGACTGGAACTCAGAAAGGCACTCCAGTGAGCACCTGGCCAGGTCTGAGACAGCGCTGTGGGGGTTCTGAGCATGGGTGATACAGTTGAGACCAGGGGGCAGGGTGCAACATCAGATGGCCTCTTCCTTTCCTCTGGATGTCCTGAGCAGCTTTCTGTGTGCAACCCTGCCTGAGGAGGTGTTTCCGGGCGCACATGTGGGGGATAGGGTACAGTGAACACAGGTGGGCATGAATACAGATAAACACAGGTGAGTTCTGTGAACATAAGCGCAGGTGAAGGCAGTGAGTGCAGATGGCACAGATGGATCCACATGGGTTCATATGAGTGCAGCAGCATTGTCCTCAAGAAGGTGATGGCGCTGGGGGCATCTGGGAGCAGACTCAGCAGGCACAAGGACTCGGGGTGCTGGGGTACATGTCTGATGGAAAGTGGGTGGCAGTGGGGAGTGGGGAGCCATCAGATGGACAAACTAAAGGATTGAGTGAGTATGACAGCCTTGCCCCTGCTCAGGAGGCTGCAGAACAACTCACGGTTCTGCTCTGTTTCCACGTCACAACACAAGTCTGTGTGTAGGGACCTCAAGTTCTGTTTCTCCGGGGGTAGCCTGCACTCACTGTGCCAGGAGGCTGGGTCACGGTCTCCTAGGCTACAGTCTAGCTGTGTCTGCTCTTCTCTCTTGCCAGGATCCCCCCCCCCCCCCCGCCGCCACTTGAAATCACCCTGTACTGCCCCAACACCCTCATCCATATCTTTTGTCTCAACACTAAGAATGACTGTGTCCTCGAGGGACAGAAAGGGAAACCAAAGGAAGACCCTGAAGCAGCGGGAGTTAGAAGGGAGAAGGGTGGCGCCTCTCAAGTCCCTTTTTTGTACACTTCAAAGTTCAGATAAACCTCTGCTTGCTCATCACCCTATGTGAGGTGTCTGTCTGGTCACTGCTGAGAGCTGTCCCCACCACTCATGTTACTGATCATTTAAAATTCTCCAGAATTCTCCTCAAAGCCCAGACTCCTTCCTCTGGGCCTCATCAAGGCTCAGCCTGGATCCTGCACTGACCCCTTCTCATTCTCCACCCAAGGCAGCTGAGATGCCTGCTCATCTTCACCCCATTAGGACACAAACCTGCTCACAACTTCCACATCTCAGGGTTCCTTATCACATCTGGGGTAAAATCCAGACCTCACGCCAACTGTAAAGCATAGCAGGCTATCTACAATGATGGCTACCCCTGAGCATAGCAGGCTGTCTGTCTATGATGGCTACCCCTGAGCCATATCCGCTTGGCTCTTTCCAGGATTCTATCCCGACAGCATCTCTCCCTTAGAACACTATCCTCACTTCAGCCTCACTGTCTCTTTTGGTCCCCTTTGCCTCTGGGTATGAGCAAACCCATTTGCCCTCTGGCCCCTGTCCTCCGTCTAAGAAGTCCAGATTATCTTCACTTCCCTCAGACCCTGTGTTTGGCTCCCAGTGTGGTGATGTCACTTTAAGATCTGGTATCTTCCGTCTCTCGTCTTCAGGGTCTTAGAGCAAATTGTCCCCCAATAGCACCTCAGCTTTGGGTCTCTCACCACCCTCAGAGAGAGCATGTAAGCCTCCTCTCTTACCCCACCATGCCAGACAAGGGTCTGGAATGGCATGGATTCATGACACCCGTATTTCCAATCCCAGCTGAGTCGGGGACTTCTATTTGCTTTTTAAACAAATATTAAGTAATTGGGCCACTGTTCCCATCTGTGTAGCTAAGCAAAGAAAGTCCAGAAACAAAGAGGGGAAAGTTAAAAACAATCACTGGGGGAAGGGTAAAATCTTTAACAAGGAACCAGAGATGTTTGATACTGACTGAAGGAATACTACCACAACTCAACGTGTGTGGGTACATGTGTGTGCATATGTGGGCACATCTGTCTCTGTGCACATGTGTATCTGTGTACACATGCACATCTGTGTGTGCACATGTTTCTATGCAATGTTGCGTGCATACATGTTTCCCTGTCCCTCTGCATGTGTTTCCGTATGTGCATGCATGTCTTTGTATGTGCAGGTGTCGCTGTATGTATATATGTGTTTGCACATGTGTGCAGCACTGGTCCTCAAGAAGCTGTTATAAGGCAATGGATAGTTTCCTCCTGGACTTGCACACATGCACATACATTCTAACACACATATATATACATGTACATAGATGTACATTCACACTCCAATCGTTAGCAGCATTGTTAGGCAGGTTTAGGACATGTCCTGACAAGGAAGAGGAAGAAGCTGAGGTTAAAAAACACAAAGACAAATGAATAAAGAGAAACTTATGTTTTCTTTGGTCTATTAATTTTTAAAACTCATGAGGTACCACGGAGGAGAGGAAGGATATTAATAACACAAAGTCCAAAATAACAGGAATAAATGAAGGAAGACCAACTAGAAGGATTGTGTATGGAAAAGAAACAGAAGCAAAGTCAGCAGGAGACATAGTGAGCCGAGAGCACTGCAGGATCAGAGAAGTGTCTGGGAGCTCAGATCAGCAGAGATGCAGGGAACCTGGATGACAGCAGCCTCATGAGGAGACCCGGAGGGAAGAGGCGTGACAGATGGAGCACTGGTACTTGGAGGTGACAACGCTTTGAAAATATGAGCATCAGAGAAAGGCGTCCGATCTCAGACTGATGGCAGGGCTGTGAGCGCTGATGAGTGGGTTGGGAGATGTCCTCCGTGTCATCCAACATGATGCAAAGACAGTGGGAACAGCCATCAGGAAATCCTTCCCAGGGAGAACCTACAGCCCAAACTGCAGACAATAAGAATCTGAGGCAGCAGTGAGGTGGGAAGGCAGAGGGGGAAAATTCGTATCAAGGATTAGGACAAAGGATATTTCAAGGACCACAATGCTTCCAGGTATAACACACAGTTCATGGGAAGAAGCTTTTGTTGGGAGGGAGGCCAACAGACACATGGAGACCTCCGCAAAGGAGTGGGGGCATTGTGAACGGAGGGACAGCAACCTCCCTCTGTGTTGGGCGGTCACACAGCTGTGGTCTAAACTAAGATCATTCCAGATTATTCTGTCAAACTGCTGCCAAGCAGCAGGGTGGTGGGCTGTCAGGAGGGGGAGGCGTAGTGATGTTTCTGATCAATACAGAAAGCTTTTGAAGCACGGGTATTTACTATAAGCAAAGAGCAGCTTCTAGAACAAGAACCAACAGAGTGGGTGTCCAAAGTGGCTGATAGATTAAGCTTTCCTCTGTGGAGGGGATAGAACATATTAAACAATAATCTCCCAGTGTGGCAGAAATTGCTGCTTCACTGAAGGGAAGAGGAGCTCTCCGAATTCCATTGAAACCTACACTGAAACACAAGACTTGGCGTTCTAGTTGATTTCCCACTCGTCGGGGAATATACTGCTAACCCAGTCCTGAATTTTGTCACACTCGTTTTCAGTGTGGCAAGGGCTCATGGTCCAGCTTGGCCAGAGTAAGCATGCTTTCTGCTATGTTAGAGAAGGTTCTAGAAAAGCTAGCCTGGCTCAGCTGGAAATAATGGTGTTCAAGTCTTCTCTAAATTCATGTATTTTCCCAACAGAAACATGTAATATATTTTTAAATTATTATAATTATCATTAGTATGTGTGTGTGTGCGCGCGCGTGCGTGTGTGTGTGCACATGCACGTGCCTGTGACTTGTGGGGGCAGGAGGCTGATTTCTATTGCTCCCCATCTTATCTTTTGAGATACGATTACTCACTGAAACTGGAGCTGGCTGCCTGCCTGAGAGGAATGCAGGAAATGTTTGAAGGGTTTATTGAGGGAGACCTTAAACCCCTCATCCTCACGCATCTCCCTCCTAATGTTAGGATAAAGAACAGGTTTGCAGACTATATCCCTCCACAGCAGCACTTCTCACACAGTGACAAACAGGGACAACCCAAACGTCCACTGCAAGGAAAATGGATGGATAAATGGTGTAGTAGCCACACAGTGAGCACAAGAGAACTGGCTGTTGGCAGTAAACAGATGAAACCTCAGTAGGCTGAGAAAAGGAAGCCAGGCAGTGCAGCCCACAGGACGGAACCCACACAAGCTAGACACAGAAATGGATACACTCTACCGAGAGTGGTAACTTTCTATCTGTGCGACACCCGTGAGGCCAGCAAATAGCAAGAAATGTCAGGCAGGGATTAAAGTAATGGAAACTCCTAGCTGCAAACAGCGAGAGTAAACAGCACATTTGAGTGGAAAGTGTTTTTTAAATCACCTAAATCCCAGCACAAACCCCAGTGCCTGACAATTCCACCCTTCCCCTTGGTATTGTGTCCTGAGCTTCCAGCTGTGGGTCAGCGAATCAATCTGGGGAGCTGCAACTGGCATTTTTCTACAGATTGAAACAGGAAAGACTAGAATCAAGCAGCAGGAGCCCAAGGGTGTTCTCCTGTAGCTTTTGTAAAAACCTGTGTGCGCACCATGGAGACATACCAGGGATCCCCATGTTCCCCCTCAAAGGTCAGGACAATTCCAGGACCAGTTAGTGGCTTTGTGCCAATGAATCTCAATCTGTGTGGGTGGCAGGAGGCCCAGAGTTAAAACCCTGGACTCTCAGGTGTTTCTAGTGGAAATGCGCCAGTGCCCAAGAGCTAAGGCAACAGTGGGGTCACTTCCACCCTATAGGATGAGTTTTCTATTGGCTCTGTGCCCCAATCTTAGTTTACTGGGGGAGACAAGGGACTCCCCTAGTTGATGGCATGACAGGAAGGGTGTCAGCTGCAACTACCAAGATGATGTTGTGCTAGGAATAGGGGATACCAGGGCCATCAGTGGAGGAAGGGATGAGGGAAGGAAGTGGTACCATTCTCACGAGTGTTTCTGTGAGAGGCTCAGGTTGCATAGAGGAAACAGACTCCTGGCTACAAAGGGGTCTCTAGTTTCCTTTGCCTTTGTGGCTGGCTCTGATGTAAGTTTGTAAGGAAGAGAGGTGCTACTGTCGATGGCCCATCAGCCATGAAGGTGGGAGGCTCCAAGCAAGCTGAGCACTAGAAATTGTTTGGCCATGGAAGCAGCAGCCTTGAGTCTGATAAGCCCCCAACATGTTAAGACATCATAGCATACAGAAATCAAAGAAGCACGTTAACACAAAGAGAAATGGCAAACATGCCTACAGACATGAACACAGAAACTTGGTCAGCAGCACCTTGACTGACACCACACAGAAGGGAAGACACCACAAGTCGGTTTATTCAGACAGAAACAGCAACTAAGAACCAACAAGCACACAGCAGCCATAAGTTTAGTGCACACAGCACAGCAGATGAGCTTTGGCCACACAAGTGAAAGAAGCCAGGCATCCCGGACACATGACGCCCGGGACTCACATTTGAGTTAATGCTGTCCATAGGAAGGGGAGGAATGGGAGGGCTGGGAGCTTTGGGGAGATAACATCCACATATCAGAGGGACTGGGACCATGCTGATTTTCAAAGCTCACTGGCCCAAAGGCCTCAGATCAAGCATTCTGCCCTAACTGAACTTCATCTTGACCATAGAGCAACACCGGAAACAGGCAGACAAAAGGACAGCTGAGTGGGCATGGGGAGAACACGGTGCTTTATTTTCCTTTCCTGATTTCTGGGTGCCAGTGGGATTCGCTTTTTCTGACCCAGAAGAGAGCAGCAGAGCAGCCCTCTCTGTACAGTGTGCCACTGTGGCCTTGCCCTGATCGCTACCACTGCCTGCAAATCTTGAGGTTGGAGCCGTGTATGCAGCAGGTGGAACTCATATCTAACAGGTGTGTCTGCTGTCTTCCTCACAGAGGTTTGTGTTCCCCTTGGCTCCCAGGTTCTGGAACAAATTTCCCCACCAGGGTTATCTTGCAACACCCTGAGGGCTCCAGTGTGGGGCTTAGCAGCCCAGTCAGCCAGCAGAGTGAGGATAGATTGAAACATAGCAGATGGAGGTCCTTGATGCCCGTAGGACTCTAGGGGAGGCCTAGAACATCCAGAGTTCAGAACCCAGGCCTCTGCAGGCCCTTCCTGTACACACAGATGTCCTGAGGTCTCCAGTTCAGGGTTCCTTTCCCAGGGGCACCCTGGGATGCCCAGCAGCTGTGTCCAAATGCAGGTTTGCCCACAGGTACAGGTAAAGACAGTGCTGGCCCTTTGGCATACCTCCATCCTAATATTCAGCTGGGATGGGCAAGTTATCCCTCGGAGGTACCAGCTGTACCTCCTGGGAGCTTGGTGTGTTGGTTCCAGACTTCATTAAGTTCTTTCATTTCTTCAGTCCTCAGAACTGTCCAAATAATCCAGCTTCAGGGCCTAGGACAAGCTGGCTGAGGGTGCATGGCCCAGCTCTGCCAAGGCCACTTGGCTGTTGGGGACAGCAGGGTGGTGACCACGGCACAGGATAATTTCTTGGGTGTCTCCCTCACTCTGCCCTTCACCCAATGGAATCTCACAGGGGTGGGCACAGAAGGTGCTTCTCCCAGCCCATCACTGGGGATTTTCCAGGTTGTTTGGTGCTATCTTGGGAAGGGGAGGAGGAGCCCTACAACCTAAGTGCAAGGCAGACTGGGGCTTCCCATTATTCCTGCTTGCCTTGAGAGTCCCAGGTCTCTTGTACAAGATGTGCTCAAGCGAGCTGTGGCCTCACCACAGGGCCAGGATGAGAAGTCCCACCTTCAGTCTTTTATCCCAGAGAGGAAGAAACATGCAAGGGCATCAACGAAGATCCCTCAGGGGACCTGCAGCCCAGGACCTGGACGTGATCTGGCTCCCTCGCCACCCTGAGACTCCCAATGCTATCCTCCTGAGGTTGCGAGTCCCTAGGAGGCACTCACTATAGAACCCTTGTGACCCTGAGCTGAATGCAGGGCTCCCATGGGGCTTCAGCCTTGCTACCCTAGTTCTTCTGTGAGTTGGGGTATCCGCACGGCACAGAGCTTGGCTTTTTACCAATTTACCCCAATCTAAACGAAACCGAACTTGCCTGGGCTCAGCTCTGACACCTGTGAGTCAGAGAGCAGCCCAGTCTGAAGGGTTGATGGGGGCACATCATGGGGCAGGGAGAGGGGATGTGGTCAGCAGGGGCACAGTGGGAGTTTCCTGGGTCGGATGAATCCCCGAGATGAGGGGCTCTGGTTGCTGATGAGGAATGAATTCGTGTGGCCCCACAGGCTGACCGAGACCAACCCTGGACCAGTCTCTGAGACACAGATGAGTGTGTGCTGTCCGCAGGCCAGGAGGTGATTCTCACCTGCTCTGGAGAAATTTCAGTGGGGGCTCAGACTGTAACTCTGCCCTGTGCCAGCCCTAAGTTGCTGTAACCAGGCCCGTGGCTGGATTAGAACCAGTGCCAGCTTCTGGCTCCCGAGAAGCCGCATCTCTTTCCTAGGTTTTCATGGCAGGTTTGGAAGATGGGGTAACTGACAAGTGGCATGGCCCTACAGAGAGCAGGGAGCCAGGCCAAGTGGGCCTGTCCATTACTGTGCCTCTAGATCATACCAGCCAGCCAGGGGGGCAGGAAGAGGCCCACAGTGCCCAGTAGGCAGACGATGATGAACATCCAGAGGAAGATTCGATCGATGACCATGGCCACGTACTTCCAGTCCTCCTTCACCTGCAAGAACAGACATGGGTCACTAGATTTCTCAGATCCCATGGGCAGCCAGAGAAACTGCTGCAACCTGGAACCATGAGTCGCAGTTTCTGCACATCCATCCCATCGGATACACATCTGCACACACCCTGTGGGAGGTGACAAGGGGAGAAGGAGCATGGACTGTCCAGTTAGAGGATCTGCTGGGGCAGATCAGCTGCTATAGGACAGAGCCCAGGGAGACACCATAAAGGGTGGGTTGAGCATCTACAGAGCCCATATCTGAGGCTGTATGTGTGTGGGGTCTTTGAATTTGGACTCATTGGAGCTTTCTGGTAGTTCACACTGCCACAAGAGACTTGGGGTGCATGCTGTATCCCAGCTGTTTTTGCCTGCTTAGTAGGCTGCCTACCCTCAAAAGGACGCTGTTTGGGCATACTTTGGACAAACAGGGTGAAGTTTGTTTTAAATTTGCTGAAGCTGGGTAGCACTATAGAGGTCGAGTCTACCTTCCCACAGTGCAGATGTCAGAAGTGGATCCCAGGGGCTGGAGAGATGGCTCAGTGGTTAAAAGCACTGGCTACTCTTCAAAAGGTTCTGGGTTCAATTCCAAGCATCCACATGGTGGCTCACAACCGTCCACAACTCCAGTTTCAGGGGAATCCGACACCCTCTTCTGACATCCCTGGCACAAGGTATGCATCTGGTGCACAGACATATATGTAATCAAAGAACCCATACATATAACATAAAATTAAAGTAACTTGGGGGCTGGAGAGATGGCTCAGTAGTTAAGAGCACTGACTGCTCTTCCAGAGGACCTGGGTTCAATTCCTAGCACCCACACGGCAGTTCACAACTGTCTGAAAATGCAGTTCCACAAGATCTGACACCTTATATTAAAAAAAAAAATTAAAGTAACTTAAAAAAAATGGATCCCAGGGAGATGTCAGTCATGTGTCCTACACCAGAAGGTAAGGGCTAGGAACAGGCTGGGCAATGGACTGATCACTAAGGCCATCCCACCATAGTCAAAAGCAAAAGCGCCCCAAAGCAAGGGTTAAGTCCACACCTGCCTCTGGCCTGGCCCTGATTACTCACATCCACCTCTTACATGGACAGCTGCCCACACACTGGGTAGAGGCAATGATGCCAGGAGATGCTCCATGGAGGAAGGAGGGTCGGGGACAATGTGTACGTCCACCATCTGTGTCCACTTCACTGGACGATGCGTTCACACATGGTGACAACGGTGCAGATGACTACCGGTTCCTCGGATCCCACAGTGTGAGCTCTTTATGCCCCGGGCTGATGCAAGGGAGCCACTTCCTCAAGCTGTTCCCAGAAGCGAAGACTCACGGGATTGATGCCTGGGTCTAACTAGGCCTGGGAACTAGCATGGCAATGATTCTCCCTGCAGCTCTAGCCTTGTGCTTCAGGCAGGGTGACGGTTACACCACCTCCCTGCTCCTTACCCTTCACCGTCCTGTCAGGGTGTCACTAGTCTAGAAGGGCCTGTGCACATGTGACCAGCAGGGAATAAGCCACGGCAAGCAGACCCAGAGCAGGCTGAGGAACACTTGGCCTCGCAGGCCTGAATTGGAGAAGAGTGCAGCTTCCCCAGAAGCAAGGGCACCTACCTCAAGTTTTCACAGCGATTGCAGGTGTCCTGATGGGTTAAGCCAAAAGTAAACAGACATGTTCACTTTGAAAACTTTAGACAGAATAGATCTTTGCTAAATAAAAAGCCCCTCAAAGGGCTCTTCAGAGTAAATGGTGCTTCGTGTCCCTCTGTCCCTTCCTGTGCCTGGGACCAAGCCTCTGAAGATGAAACGCCACAGTCATGACCTGCTGTCCTGTTCCTATCAGCAAGCTTCCCAGGCCCGGAAGCAGGTCAGGCAGCTGCAGTAGGCCAGTGGAGATGGGGGAAATCATGAGCTCCAGCTACAGGACTATGCTGGGGATGGTTTCAGAAAGATTTCAATTAAACTTTCCACATCCATCCTCCCTCAGTGGCCTCAGTCCAGTTCATGCCTGGATCTCTTTTTCTACCCGAGAGCTGTAACAAGACATAACCCCAGAACCAAAATTTCTCTCCAGACAGGTCTCTGAGGTCCAGAATATTCCAGAGACCACCAGAATGACTTCATGAGTCCCCGAGACTCAGTGGGGGTGATTCTGGGAGCAGAGACCCACTCCTGGGATGTAGGGCACCAGGCTCCTTTCTTTCCAGGGCTTAGCAGCTCCAGAAGACAAACCATAGACATCTGGGAATAGACAACAGGCAAGTCCCAGGTTGAGTAGGAAGATGAGCAGAAGCCAACAAAACCGACGTCCCAGGAGGGACACTGGCAAATGCCAGTTCAGGGCAAGGACAGTGTAAAGGTCAGATGCTTTTAGGTGATGTCACTTTTTAGGGGACACAGCAGAGGTTGGCCAGGACAGGACTTCCCCTGAGGACCTCTTCACCCGACCTCTGGCTGAGACTCTGATTCTCATAGGCTGAGTCAGATCTGGGAAAACAGCTTGCCTAGCACCAGTTGTCCTTCATCTCAGCATCATCTGAGCCCACACTCCAGTCCCAGAGACCCCTACGTGCTACAGTCGGATAAATGTGAAAGGGGAGAGAGCGTACCCACAATGCCCTGGTGGCAAGGGCAGACAGAGCTGGCACTGCTGCCCAGCCCAGCTGTTCATCAGAGATGCACTCTGTGAAAAGTGCAGGAGACCAACACCTATGGAGCAAGATAACCATTCCTTCTCAGGCCTCTGGAGAGCCACAGCTTGGAGCATGAGAACGCATGGGGGTCGGCTGGCTGAGCACTGGCTTCCTGTCTCCAGGTTCCCGAGGGCCTTGCAGTGTGGCAGCATTATGTCCTCACCCCACAACCCTCCAAAGGACTGATGGAGTGGGGGTGGGGTGTAGTTCCCGGCAGCCCCATTCTCTTCTCTATGCCCTCTCAACCTTCCTAGCGTTCAGAGGACCACCCTCTGCCACAGAAGCTCAAGGGAGACCTGTTTTTGGGTGGCAGCAGAAGCAACAGTTCCACTGAATTTTGGGGAAGGCTAGTGTGGGATGAGCCTGTCAACCAGGATTTCCAAGCAGCCGGTAACAGTCTGAAGACTTCAAAGGAAGACCTTCTGAGCGTTGGGTTGGCAGTGTTAGAAGCAGCCTCTCAACCCACGGCTCACCAGGGCTCATTAAGTCCTGGCACCTGGACGAAGCACCTCAGCTTGCTCCCCACTGATAGGGCCTCACCTAAGCCCAACTTGGCCTAGGGATCTATAAAGGATGCTAGGCAGAGACCCTGTACCCTCAAGCTGTGCAACATTTGTCTGGGCCCTTGGTTTCTGGATCATTTATGGAAAACACTGGACATCACATCCTGTCTGGGCCAGGGGCACCTCCCATGCATAGCTGCTGGCCAGGACTTACCGAGAAGTCTGTGTCTTCTGCCTTGAGGTGGTCTGCAATGTACTGGACACCCTCTACTGCCCGCATCAGGGCTGGTGACAGGGGGAGGTGCTGGGGGCGTGGTTTGGTGCCTCGGGCCTTGAGCACAGTGACCGGAGACACGGGAGATGGTTCCTTGCATGTGCATTTGCATGGAGAGACCTGGTCGGACAGTGGAAGCTGGGATGGATGGGCCTTCAGGGAGGCAGGGGAGGCAGTTGGCTGGCTGTCAGCCAGGGAGACAGCTCCATCTCGAGAAACACAGTACTGGATACTCCGAGACCGGCAGCGGATGCCACCTTCTGCCGTTTCCTGGGAGCTGGGCACGTGCTGGACACTGAGGGACCTGGCTTTGACAAGTGTCGGGACCCTGGTACTGTTGGGTGCGTGACAGGGGCCAGGTGATGGACAGGGACTGGTCTTCTTCACCTCTGATGTCTGCAATTCAGGGGCCTTGTGAGAGGGTGACTTGCATGTAGGCTGGGCCTCGACTGGCGTGGTCAGAGGGTTGCAGAAAGATGGGGCCGATGACAGGCCTCGGTTTCGAGTGTCACTCAAGACGCCAGGCTCACCCTCCGGTTCTGGCCAGAGACGAGGGGCATTGGCCATCTTATGCATGGACTCGATAAGTCTTCGGCAGTTGTCTTTGACCACAGACGGGCGCTTCATGAAGAGGAGGCGCGGCACGATGTCCAGGAAGACTCTGCGCACCCAGGCAGGCATGGTATGCGTGCGTGGCGAGCGGTGGTGAACGTTGAGCACGAAGACCGTGATGACGATGGAGAGGGTGACGAAGATCATGGTGAAGAGCAGGTACTCGCCGATGAGCGGGATGACCAGCGAGGTGGACGGGATGATCTCGGTGATGAGCAGGAGGAAGACGGTGAGTGAGAGCAGCACCGAGATGCACAGGGTGACCTTCTCGCCGCATTCGGAGGGCAGGTAGAAGACCAGCACGGTGAGGCAGGAGATGAGCAGGCACGGGATGATGAGGTTGATGGTGTAGAAGAGCGGCAGCCGGCGGATGATGAAGGCGTAGGTGATGTCAGGGTAGATCTCGGCGCAGCATTCATACTTCCTGGTGTTGTAGGTGCCCACGGCATCCACAATGACCCACTCCCCACTTTCCCAGAAGTCCAGCTGGTCCACGCGGCTATGCATGCTCACCAAGTCAATCTTGGCCTTGTCATAGGTCCAGGACCCAAACTTCATGGTACAGTTCTGCTGGTCGAAGGGGAAGAAGGTGACATCGATGCTGCAGGAGCTCTTATAGATGGCTGGGGGTGTCCACTGCACCCGCCCATCATAGAACAGGTGGGCTTTGGTCAGGTGGGTGACTGCGAAGTCCCCGTCCGCACTGCCAGGAAGAGGGAGAGAGAGCAGTGAGGTCTGCCCATCCCTACACCACACCCACGGACATTCTTGTAGAGAAAGGCTCACAGCCTGACCAACAGCCCCACCAGCTACCATGAAGAGTGCAGGATTATGTATGGTGGTCATGTGGTCTGGGCCATCACTCACCTGTGTGCTTCAGTTTGTCACCCTTGAAGAGTCAAGGTGCCATGTGGTCCAGAGACCATGGTGCTCACCCAGTGAGCGGAGTTAGTATTACAGCTCTTTTCCATTACTATCATGAGTGGCTTGAGGTGGAACCAATCTCCTGGCTTCTCTCCTGAACACCCACTGCCCCATGAATTTGCATTTGTGCCTTCTCCTTGCAGAGGGGCCTGGGTCACCTCTGTGCCTTTGAGGACTGAGGTACCATGGAAGTTTCTCCTTGGATTCTAATGGTTACCACCTGAGCACTTCATGCACTGAGAGGAGGTGCAGGTGCCTGTCTCCTTCAGTTCAGGAGCTTACAACTGGCTCCAGCAGGTGCTATGGATATCCCAGAGGTCCCTGCAGGACCAAGCCCACTGCGTATGAAGTATGTGTCTGCAGGAACAGGACAAGTGTGCCCAGAGGCCTGATTCAGAAGAATGGATGCCTGCTGGGCCCAGGAGCACAGGGTGTGGGATAAGCAAGATTTCCTCCTCCTCACCTATGAAAAAGGAGGTTTCGTACCAAGCAGCTTCTCACAGGTCCCCGGTGAATGGATAATCTTTCTGGAGGCCAGCAGGACTCTCTGCCCATCTCATCCATATGGAGGTAGCGCAGAGCTGCTCAAGGTGCCTCCCAGGACAAGTACCCCTTTGAATGTCCCCCTGGACAGGGCTCAAACTCAGGATAGATCTCCTTTCCTTTCCACTGGCCCCAAGAATTTGGAGGCCCCCTCTCTACAGGCCGTGGTACACGGGCTGGGTGAGGACCCCAGCTGCCTCATCCAGGTTCTGGTGCCTGACTATTGGCTTCTTGCCTCTCTCTCTCTCTCTGCCTTGAGGGATGTTTGCCAGGTTGGGCAGTGGAGCATGGGTCTGCTGTCCCTCCAGCCTCTTCTCTTGGCCAGAGTTCCAGCCTTGACCTCTGGGCTTCACAGACAGTGATGCTGTGTCTCATTTTACCCATTCTTGGAACTTGGTGACACTGGACAACAGCTCCATGAAGCCCTTCTCACCGTGATTACCTCCACAACCCTCCCCAGAACTGCTAGTATTTCATGTTTGCCTGTGGAATCGTACCCTATTTGGCTGTGAAATCCGTACCCTATTTTCCCCGTGGAATCCAAGCGGCAGTGTGGCACTCTCAGGCCTTGGTGTCTCTACATGCCCAGACCATTCGCTTTGGCCCTGAATTAGCATTCCGAGTCCATCAGAGTCAGCAACAGTGCACAAACACTTTGGGGCAAACCCTGCCAGCCTCAGCTCAGAAACACTGATGGGAAACCTCGATTTATAGCTAATGAGCTCCCTGAAGCACGATTAAACTTCTCACTAATGGCACCAGCATGCAGCACGTCCGTCTCACCACTCACAAAACAATGCACCCCTGAGCCACAGGCTCCAGAACCCTCTGATTTCCCAAGTGCCCAGCTCCATCTGTCCATCCCTCCTCCCACCTCCATTCACGGGCCCAGCTCATCGGCTAGTGCCCTCCAAGGTTCTTAGGCAGAGAAATCCAGGTCCCCTAAATTTCATCAGCCAACTGGCCATCCTCCCCTGAAAAGCTTCTCAAGTCCTGACCAGAGCTCATGGTGGCCACCTGGAACCCTTAGTGGTCCTTTCTATGCTAACCAATCACCTGCAGCACCATCCACAAGGTCCAGAAGACCTGAGCTTCCCATGATCTCAGAGCCTGGGCCCTCCTGCATGTTAACTCATCCTGGGTCAATGCTACTGGTTTTCTCCAGCACAGCTGTGCTACATATAGAAAACATTGGAAAAGCTGCTGTCAACATGCACCCCAATAAGGCTTCAGGTTGCACACATGCACCCTAATAAGGCTTCAGGCTGCACAGTGCACAGCCTGGTTTCTACAGAAGCCAAGGTTCCCTCCGGGCACACGGGGGTGGATCTTGCAGATATTTCAGGCCCTGTGGAATCAGGCTTGGGCTGGTTCCCTTCTCACAGTCCCTTCTCTCCAAAAATCAAAGCCTCAGCACTGCAGGCACAAATTTAAATTCTCCCAAGCAAGAGAGTGGATCCTCTGCTTTGACAACTTTCTACAGAGCAGGCAGGAAAGGCTGCAACCAGCTGGTCGGCAGGGGCCCTCAGGGCTCACTTGAATTAGTGACTCCCATCTGCAGCCTTGGCTGCTGGGTCTGGGTTTCCCACCCTTCAGACACACTGGGGACCCGGCACTCATAGCTCAGGCTGTTGTGGCTCCAACTGTACTGCTCACCACTCCCTGCTCTCCCCAGCCCAGCCCCGCGTGAGCCTGGCAGAGCACCTAAGCCTGTATAGATGGATTCCTCTGAGGTTACTGTTGTGCTTGTGTTTGTAGATGGGTACCAAGCGTACTCTCTGAGGGAGGAGGTCTCTGAGGGGGGCAATGCAGGCCACCTCCATCAGATTCTGGCTCTGTTTCCTTCCACAAAGCCCCAGCTGTGGAGAAGGTGGCAGCCGAATCCACAGAGTTCAGCACTCTGTAGTAGCTCTGGCTGCTTTGTTCTTCTCACATTGCCAAGAGGAAGGCAGTCAGAACGCCCAAAGGATAATGCTGTCCCAGTGACCACTGGCAGCCCAGCCACGCACCAGGACAGCAGGTTTGTCAAGTGAGCTGTCGGCATTTCAGTGCCAAGGCTGCTGATGCAGGGTAAAGATGATAGGTCCTCAGTTTCCAGTTCTGTACCTTACAGACCCCACAACACAAGAGGAAGTATAAACTTTTGGGTCCTACAGTCAACCAATGTGATGTTAGTTCTGGACTCAGTGAACTGGCCAGGAGCTGGGGGCGGGTGGGTCCTGGATTTTACCTATTCCTGAGAGGCCCCACCACCTGAGGCTGCGATCCAGGGGGAAATGAGTTCATGTTTGATCCACACCTGGCTGAGAGCATCTGGGTTTCCAGGAGAGGAAGCCCCAAGTCAACAAAAGAGTAGGGACGCCCCCAGTCCAGCAGTGGGACCAACCATTGGCTAGCAGCTGCTGATTGCACTAAAAATGGCCTCCTTCCTGCCAGCATAAAAGTCCTTTCAACCTTCACCAGCTCCAAGCCCTGCTCAGGTAGATCTCAAGTGCTCATCCCAGCCCCAGAGAAAAGGGGGTCTGTCCCTTTGGCATGTGTCTGAGCACGTAGGAGAGAGAGACAAAGACGACCTGGGAGGAGTGGAGACTTCTGAGTGCCCGTCATCAGGAACCTGGTCCTGGGCTGTTTATCGGCTCCCCCACCTCCTCCTCCTCTGCCTACCCAGTACCGCCCAGGGAATGCATGGGTCCAATAGGCTGCTCAGAGTAGATTCAGTACTTGATCTTAGGGCTCAAGGAGGAACAGGTAGAGGGTGAGTCCCAGAAAGGCCCAGTCGCTAGAAGTCTTCCAGGGCTCAAGGTTCAACTGGAGGGGTACAGAAGACAAAGGGGCCTTTTTGAGGGAAGAGCAAGGGTCATGGACCTTAATGGTTCCTGCCATCTGCTCATTCTTAAACCTGCCCTTAATAAACACATTTTGGGAAAACACCCACAGCTCCTTCTAAAAGTCAAGGATGTGGCTAGTACTCTACTCAATGAAAGAGGAAATAAAACCCCAGTCATTCTTAATCTAATGGGAGCATTTGTAGGTCAGATGGGCACCCCAGGGCCTGGAGGGGGCTGTGGGCAGATGGCTGGGACTAGGGGGTGGAAGGGCTTTCTGTTTGCTTTGTCTGCAAGCACCGTGGGAGCTGGAGTAGTGTATCACCCCGCGTAGACTAAGCTCAGAAATCCAGCTGCTCCTCTCTGTAAGGGTCCCCGGGAAAATAAGTGTGAGGATGCCTGTCTCCTGCCTTCCTGTCACCAATGACTGCATTCATCTCCGTGCAGACTTCAGCTTCTAGGAGCCACGACAGGGTGTGAACTGAGCTTAGGAGCTGGGATTGTCCGTTGGCTCGGCGCCCAGTGTGGGGCACAGCACAAAGCTGGGACCAAGAAGAGCGGAGGCAAGTCTCTGTGGAGCACCCACATCTCTTTACCTCTCCATCTACCCCAAAGTCCCTGCATCATTGGCCTTTCCGACTGTGACTTGTACACCTCAGGGGTTAAGAAAACCTGCCTGGGGTGGGACCTGCAGTCACTTCTGGGAGAGGGTGTCAAATCCATTCCCTGCCCTCAGGACACAGAAGAACCTCACAGCGGGTACCCCCGACCCCCCCGCACTGGGTGTTGGTGCCTACACCCAGCCCCTTGGGTTTCCACTCCCTTTGCCTGGTTCCTCTTTGCTTCCAGCAGCTTCCTTGCCGGGCTGGGTTCTAACCTCACCTGCCAGGGCCCACGAGGCTTACTTGTTGTAGAGTACGATGTCGGGCCTCCAGATGAGCTCGGAGGGGATGCGGATGGAGGTAACATTCTCGTAGTCACTGGGGACCCAGCGCAGCTTGTAGTCATACCACTCCTGAGTGGGGGTGGAGAGCCACGTGTGACGTGGGTTATGGGGCGGAGGGCAGAGGCGTGGGAGCCCCTCCACTCACCGGCACTTCTGAGAGGGGGTGGAGAGCCACATGGGGGGGTATGGGGCGAAGGGCAGAGGCAGGGGAGCCCTCCCCACTCACCGGCACTTCTGAGAGGGGGTGGAGAGCCACATGGGGGGGTATGGGGCGGAGGGCAGAGGCGGGGGAGCCCTCCCCACTCACCTGCTTCACCCACACATTTGTCGTCATCATCTGGTTCTTCTCGTCCTAGGGCACAAGGGAGAAGGGAGCTTGAGGGTCCCCTCAGTCACAGATATGTCCCTGCTTAAATCTACAATCCATAGCTAGCAAAGGCATGGACAAGTCAGGGCCAATCTTCAGGAGAAGAGTGCCTCAGCCCTGAAGGCAACCTAGTCTGGGATGGCAGCCTAAGGGGAGGTAGGATGAGGAGAGAAAGACTCTGGAACCCTTCCAGAGAGACATGGGGGAGCAGTTCAGCTCCAAATGAACCCCAGGCTCCTTGCAGGCTGAAATCTGTCAGCCATGTCCACTCACATTGCTCCCTCCCTCCTCCCTCTGCAGATGGGGTCCACGTGTCACTACTCCTAAGGCCATCAAAGCCACAGGTTAGGGAGATCTTGATAAAACCATCCTCCCAGGGCCAAGGTGGATGCCGTGGCAGAGATTCTGGTGGTTTCATCTCAAGGTCACCATGCAACAACCAGTCAGGCTGAGAAGATCTAGGCTGCAGACTACTCTGTGAGGTCTCTTAGGGTTGCTGCCCCAGGTTTATTTCCCCACTGAGCCACAGGAATGGGCCCATCTGTTGCAGCTGCCCATCTGGTGAGGAACAGCAGGTTGGAGACCCACGTTCTGATCAGTCAGTTCCTAAAGCAGACAGGACCCTTGTGGAGAATGAGCAAGCTTTGGTGTAAGCACAGATGTCTGTGGGGACAGACTGGCAGCCATAGGCACTGTCACACCTTCTAGCCTCAGGAAGGGTCTGAGACCTCATGCCCACAGTCTGGGGAACAGCACTGGGCTTCTCAGGGAGCATCTGATACTGGGCACCATGAGTCCCAAACTGGACCAACATTTTCTGTCATCAGCCTAAGCTTGACTAACAGACTCCTCCAGGGACCTAACCAAGGAGATTCCCAGGACATCCAGCAAGAAAGTGTCTTGCTCAGAATAGAGCATGATCCTGCCCCCACAAAAATCATTATAGACTAGTAAATGGGAGGAGGTTGCATCCCCTGATGCCCAGCCCCAGGCCTGGGTCCTCTCCAGTGCAGTCACCTAGGAAGGTGACCCAGTGGCCTGAGTGAGTCCCCTCCCTAGAAGGACACTAAAGAGAAGGTGGGATGCAGAGCTGGAGCCTGTGGCTTCCTCCCGCTGCCTGAATGGGCTGGCCGACAGCAACCTCATCCCTGCATGACCTTGACCTACACCCAAGGAAGCTGGAAATGGAACGCTGCTTGCTTCATCCCACAGGGCCTCCAGAATTATCAGGACAAACTTGACTGTTGCCGGGCTGGGTCTTCTTGCCCTAAGCATCCCTTCCAGCCCCATGTGGCCGTCACACCGCAGGGCCTTTGGATCCCATAGATGTCACAGATATCTGGAGCACATTTCACAAGGACTCAGCATTGGGTTAGGAAAGTCCTGGTGATTCCGTAGCCTTCTCTGCAGCGGTCGCTGGGTATAAACTCAAGCAAGGCACGTAGTCTCCCTTACTGGGTGCAGACCCCAGAGAGGCATCTATAGTAGATCTAGTAGCTCACAAAGGGACACAGGCAGGCTGGACGCTAGGATGGGGGCACCTGGATCCCAGGCCCTAGTGGAAGAAAGAGTAGGCCAGACACAAGGCAGACCTTTCTACGCAAATGTAGCCATGAACTTTCAACATGTACAGTGCCTGCCTAGAGCCAGCATTTCCCTTTACGGAAAAGTCAAGGTAGATCCCTCGCAGGGTGCAGGGAGAGCCTTTGGGCACCCTCCAACCAGGCCCAGGAGCTACAGAGGTCAGGCCTGGAGGCCACATCCCTTGGAGACATTTTGATGCTGGGTTTGCTCTGAGCCTAGTGTCTCCCAAGGCAGAGAACATGAGACTGAACTCGACAGGCTTAGGCATGCCTGGTGGTAGCAGACCCAGAGCCTTGAGCCGCTGCCAACAGCTGCCTCTGCCAGCCACCACTTTGTAACGGTGTTTGCAAACCTCAGCAAGGATGAGGGGCCTGTGCATCTTGCACTGTCCTTGATGTCCCCCAGCCAGGGACACTGCAGGAACCATGTAGGGGCCAAATGCTAGGCTCTCCTGAGGATGAAAGTCTGAGTGGCTACGCTGAATAGAGCCAACTGGCAAGGGTCTCTGTGTCCAATCCCATCAGGCCGGATCCCTGGGATGCTGCTGGCTCTGTCAGAGATGGTATAGTTGCTCTTAGAGCATGTCAGGCAAGCACATGGAAAGACTGAGAACCACACATGATCAGTGACAGTCTCGAGCCAACACTTCCTCTTGTAGCAGAGACTGGGGTGGACCTTTAGGACACTCACGCTGGGGTATGAACTCAAGCAAGGCAGAAGTCTCTTTTGTGTCCTCCCCTTTATCTTCTATCCCTCCTAGAAGGCTATGCAGGGACAGCTCTCTCTCTCTCTCTCTCTCTCTCTCTCTCTCTCTCTCTTCCTCTCTCTCCTTGGATCCAGGCTCTGCCCCTGAACCCAGCAAAACTCAGTGTGGAGCTCTCAAGCTTACTAAGTCAAATGGCTATGGCTGCCCCACTGGTAAGATTATGCCTTCCCAGCATCCTTCCCCCAGCCGGGACAGAACTCACGTTGGGCCCAGCCTGAAGGGCAGAGCCTTCAGTGGTACCAACCCCTGGCAGCATTCCCCAAAGCCTGGTCCCACCCCATAAGGAACATCTCAGCCTCACATGAGGACAGACTCCTACAGAATACTTCCCTGGGTCAAGACTCATCTCTGGTGCTTCCTTCGGGACTCCTTGGGCCCCAGCCCATGCAGCAGGGGCTACTGCCTAGCTCACACAGGTCCTCCCAGAAATCTTCCTGGACCCTCACTGGGAAAATGAACACAGCCAGGTAAAGAAGATCTGTCTGAGATTCACCCAAGCCCGACTTTCCATGTTGGCTGGTACTCTGTGGCCTCTGGGATCAGCCTGGGATGTGCCCCCGGTGTACCACAGTGCCCACTGGAAGGGTGACACTTCCCACAGCTTTCCTATGGAATAGGTCCAAGCCATGGAGCCCACCTCCCTTCCCCAGCGCTGAGTACCCACTGAAGCTAGGGTGACATTTTTCTGTCAGATGGAGTCTCACGGTAGTACCTCCTACAGCGTGACCCCATTGTCCCATACAACACCAGGTCATCCCACACCTACCACATCAATGAGCTGAGCAATGGACAGGCCGAAGCGGACAAGGACCACGTCTGAGATGTTGGCTACTGGCCGAGACCACTTGTTGTAGCCAGAGAAAAGTCTCTTCAGGAGCCGCTCCTCCGCATGGGCCCGGGTCTCGATGTGGCTGCTAGCTGTGGGGGAGGCAGGAGGTTTAGGGGCAGGTGAACACAAAGGGTGTCCCTCCAGCCCCATGCCACCACAGTCTTTCCTGCCTTCCAGGTCCTCTTCCACATCACCTTCCACCTTAGGAGCCCTGGGCATGCTGCCTTGATTTTCCTGACTCCCCTCAAGGAAGCCTTTCCAGCGCCCTCAGAATGGGTCAGGCCCTCCTGCATTTCCTTCGCCAGGAAAACAAGGCAACTGACCGCGTGAACACTGAACTGAGTACAACTTCCCTGCAGACGATCACTCTGGATGGAAGTGCCCTATCGCCGGTGACCGGCAGAGACAAAGGACATGAAGTGACTGACAGCCGCATGGGAATGGGGACAGAAGGTGCACGGGGCAGCGAGGGTGGTCCAGCTGCCTGGGTTTTAGTGTCCACCCTGACAGCGAGTGCAGACCCTCAGGGCCACTAGCGCCCAGAGTTCAGGGCAGAAGCAAGATGCCCTGGATAAGCGCCACACTGCTGCCTGGAGAGGGTGGTCCCTCATTCCACCAGTCAGCAGCCCATCTGTGTTCTCTCCATAGGTCCCCTACGTGGCTAGGGGGCCTCCCTGCCTCCATCTGTTCGGTTGCTGCATTAAAGAGGGGGGTGGGAAGAGGGAGGGGAGCCTCTGCTGTCTGCTGGCTCCTGCTTACCTGAGAGGAACTCCTCAGGAGGGGTCTTCTAGAGTACCCCCACAGCCTCCTCCCTCAATCTCATTCTTCCTGGTACCTTGGACCAGTAAGGCACAGCTTCACCGCTCAGTGGGGTGGCCAGGGATTAAATAACCCCCGGAAACCCCTGGATGGGTTAGGGTGAAAGGTGTCCGTTTAAATGGGAGGTGGCGGAAGCCGGGGGACGGCGGGGGGGGGGGTGCAGAAAGGATAGGGTGGGAGCTCCAGGGGCAGAGGCAGATCCTCGAAACCAGGAGCAGACATGGGGGTGGTCTGCTGAGAGATTTGACAGGATGGAACCTCCCTCCCAGGTGGACTCCACCTCTATCCTAGTTGGAGGTTCTGGTTCCAGCTCGGAATTGCAGCCAGACCATCCTCCCCCCCCCACCCCCCCGCCTCACACCCGCCTCCACTCAAGCCCCCTCTCCCAGCACTTGGCGGCTGATTCCTTCCTCACTGGCTCAGCTAGCACCGCAGGACGTCGGAGCTGTAGTGGGTGGAGGAGTCTCTGGCTATCCCGTTGCGCGCACCCGCGGCTTGGCACCGCAGCCCGGGGCCTCCTCTCCCCTGGCCCGGGAATCCCAGAAGCCAGGACCCGGGAGAAAAAAAACGTTCTGCGTTTTGAAACTTACCAGGCAAGAGGCCGACCCCTAAGAGCAACAGCAGCGGCAGTAGCAGCGGCGGCTGCGGCGCCCGGGGCCCCCAGAGCTCCATGGCGCACCGAACGGGCTCTAGACGCGGGCGGCTCCCAGCTGTGCCGCGCCTCCGCTCCAAGACCCGCGCGCGCCCAACTTCATGCCCCGCGCCGCGGCCGCTCGTCCCCAAGCCGGGCTCCGCAGCTTGTCCCGCGGGGCGCGGCGGCGGGGCGGGAGCTCGAGGTTGTGGGCTCCGCGGCGCGGCCCCGCCCGGACCTGCTGCCTTAAGCCGCCGGCGAGAGGGGAGGAGGGGTAGGGACGGGAGGGAGGAGGAAGCGGGCGGGAGGAGGGGGCGGACCGGGCCCCGAGGGTAGGTGGAGGCCACGCTCGGCCCCGCGTGGGGGTAAAGTTTTCTTGTCCCCCCTGGGGCTCGCGACGTGCCGGGTGGGGTTGGCGACCCCCTGGTCATCCCAGCAACCCCAGCGCCTTCAGGAATCAAGCCCCCAACCCCGGTCTCCAGCCCTAAGATTGGGCGCTCATTCAGGAATTGTGCGCAGAAGAGGGCACCCTGCTTGGCTCTGACTAACTCCATCTCTCCACCCCGCCTTGGCGCGACTGTTTGCAGTTTGGAAATAACAAGTCTCTCTTTCTCTCGTCTCCTTCTCTAGCCCAGTGTTGAGGGAAAGAACCCCCATCAGCCTGCTACCCTCCTCCTGTACTGCAAGCTTAAGAAGCATCCTGCAGCGCCCAGGCTCAGACTGCTGTTCTACTGAGAAGATCCTGGCGACCCGGACCCTGCGTCTCGCAGGACCAGCCCGGTACCAGGGTCCACCTTTGTCCTTTCTGGGAGTGCAGATTTTCGCCCCCCATCCCTCCCCCCGCCAGCCGGGTGGACTGTGCTGGCACTAAAGCAGCTCCCCACCCCAACTCTGTGGCAGCGAGCTACTGGCTAAAGAGGACAGGTGCTTGGAGAAAAACCGCTGGGTGCTGGGGATGCCACTAACGAGGTGCTCGGGTCCTGTTGTTCCTAGGGAATGGGGCCCGTCTGAGCAGGAGGTCCTGGGAGAAAGGACTGTGGTTTGTGGGCCTGAGTTTCCCAAGAAAGAAGAAGCCCTGCCACATCACAAAAGCTTGATGTGTCCCAACCTTGCCTTGTCCCAGAGACTCCACAGCCGGCTCTGAGCCCCTAGATGGAGACAATCTTGAAGTTGAAGGCATAAAGGTGCTGTCTCTGTCCCAGTAGCACATGCCCCCTTTGTCCCCAGGCATGGTGGCTCCGAGGCTGACTGTCTCTCTGGCCCACACCTATCCACAACAGTATAGGGACAGTTTTCACTGCCCAAGTCCTGCTCCCACGACTGTCCTCTTTCCCATCTCTCCACCCTGCTCCCCCATCTGCCCCTCTATCTTTGTACCCAGCTCTCTTGCCCTCCGGCCTACAGTGAATACATGTCACACACTGCCTGGGGACACTCAGACTCCTCCAGGTTACAGAACCATCTGTCTGTACTTTGTGAGCAGAACCTTCCAAATTATTCTCCTCCTGGGCAGACTACCTTAACAGTGGCCATTGTTCTCCCATTGTGCCCTCCTCGATGCTGGCCCAAGTATTGAGGATGTGTAGGTGCCAGACTCTCACCATACCCTCCAAAGCCAGTTCTTACCATACCTAAGTCTTAGCTAAGAGGAAATGGCACAAAAAGATTTAATCAATTTGCTCAAGACCATAATTCAGTAGTGAGATAGCAACACAGCTATTGAACTTCAGGTTGGCACCCTGGCCCTGTGTGAAGACAGTTCTTTGGGTACCCACTCCCTTTCTGCCTGGAGTCTTTCCAGGAGCCAAGGGAAGCCTGACTTTCCCAATAGAATTGCACCCTTTCCACTCTCACCACTCGGGCTATTCCTCCCTTTGGGGCCCTTCTTAGTTTGTCCTCATCCACCCCAGTCCCCCAAGGAGTCAGACCTTGGCCCCACATTTCAGGTATTAGCCCCATCCCCCCACTAGCTGGGTATTTTTAAGTACACCTGTAGTCTTGGACTAAAAATCAGCAGGTGGCGGAGCACTGCCTGTGGGGGGGGGGGGAGGCAGAAAGCAAGCCTGGCATGGTGGACCCTGAGGGAGCTGGAAAGAGCAAGGCCATAGGTCCCGTGTGGGAAAACAAAGGGATCGCCTTCCGTGACCGTGCACAGGGCTAACCCCATCTTCTTTCATTAATGCCAGAAGCCAAAGATGGATGCAGACGCAAAGGTGGTGCATGCCTGTGATTCCAGTACTTAGAGGCTGAGACAGGAGGATTGCCACAAATTCAAAGCAAGGCTAGGCTACACAGAGAGTTCGAGGTCAGCCTGGGCTACCATGTGAGCTCCTCATACATATATAGAAGTAGTCAACCATGATTCAGGTCCCCTGGAGCCTCTGCCAATTCCCCTGGAACTCTGATTAGGAGCTGTCATTCAGACATGGCTGTGGAGAAAGGTAGGCAGACTAAGGCTTGTCACTCTGCTTTCTAGGTTCAGTGATGAGGGCCCTGACTCCTGCCCCAGGGCAAATCAAAACCTCCTTTGGGGTAAAGCTGCTTTGTTTCTCCCATCCTAAGTCCAACCCAGTTTTGTCTTTTGGCTGCCTTGAGTTGGGCTTCCTCTGAATGTTGTTTTGGAGTTGGGGGTTGGGCTGGGGTAGGGGATGAACTGAATGAGCCCTCAGAGGCTCCACGAAGAAAACACATAACAGTGTGGATGCTGCAGTGTTCGCGTGTACTTGGGGATTTGTTTTGTGTACAGTAACCCACTCTCTGAGACTGTCGATAACATATCAGGTCTGTGATTCTCCAAGCCCTTTCCAGACAGCTCAAATGTAGAAGCCTCAGACCACATCTGAGCGAGAGCCTAGCTTAGGCCTGAGTCAGGGGACTGAGAGCTTCTTGGGGAAATTCAGTTCAGTTGCCTGCTCCTCTTCAAAGCTTCTAGAGACAGCTTTGTGCCCAGCCTTCTGGGTTTAACAGCCTGAGATGGTGGCTCTCACCAGCAGGAGGTCTCTCCTGGGGCAAGAGGCCAGGTGGGGGTCAGCTCCATCTCAGGCTCTGCTGACTCAGCCCTGTGGACCACAGCCCCCTGGACCGCTGCGCCGCTCACTGCTCACACACAGCTGCCTGGCTGGTTGACTTTCCCTGTGGATTTGCTAAAGCAGCAGATAATCAGTCTCATTAATTTGTCCGCCCCTCCTGCTCCACCTGCTCACTAGGAAGCACTGCTGGGGACCCTGGGAGTCCTGCACTGAGTACTTACTACAGGCACTAGGTAAGAAAAGCCCGGTTTACAAAGTCTGTAGACCACTCTGGGCAGAAGATCAGGGTGACCCCGAAGCCAGACTCTTGTGTCCTTGAGGGTGGGGGATGGAGCAAGACCCTGCACACGCCTCCCACCCTAGCTACTGCCCTCCCAGGATGCTGCTGCCCAGCTGGACAGGAGTTCTGCAGATACAGTCCGAGGGGACTTCCCTCCCCCCCTCCCTGCCCTCTTTACCCTCCACCCTGTCCCAAGGACATTTCCATGGTAACCATATGCTGGTATAAACAGGGATTCATAAAAGGACTGTGTCCGCTACACTCGGACGCTATCCCACAGGGATGTGAGTCCAGGAGGGAGACTCTGGGCCTCTCTCTCACACACACACGCAGGACTATTAGTGTGGATGAGCATGTGTGTTGAATGCAGATGGAGGAATGGATGTAGAACAGAGGGAAGTAAAGATGGAGGAGGGAAGGGGAAGAGGGAAGAAGGGCATCTCTGCCTCTATAGCCCTGCACTGCCACTCTGAACCCCACCCCTGGAGCAGGCTTAAACAGGCTGAGAGTATCTCTGCTTGGTTAGGGCCCATGGGCATGTGGCCAAAGTGAACAGCTGGAGCACAGACTGGGGACCCAAGACTAGGTCTCCTCAGGCAGGAGCAGAGATGCTGGGATCTGGAGGGCTCAGAGCCCTTTCTCTCCCCTTCATCTCCGCTGCAGAGGGTGATCATGAGTACCCAGGGCCTGGCTGCATTTCCTGTGCTCCTCTGATCAGAATTCATCCTGACCCCTGGCTGCTTCAGATGTTCTTATCCCAGGACATGAGCAGTCACCCCAGGTTCTAGTCATGCGCCGAAGCAGAGCCGGCAAGCTACAGGCTGGGCCTGGTGCGGTAGTGGCAGCTCTAAGCCCGGGGGTCCTTGGCACCCTGCAGCCTGGTTCTGGATTAAGGGGACATGTCATCCAGGGTCAGCAGCTGCCAGGATGTTAGCCAGGACCATCTGTGGCTGTGGCTAGCGTTTGAAAGTCCACTTTCCTTGTCTCAGTAACCTCAGGACCTCCTGCTTCATCTGACTTCCTGTGGGGGCTCCTTTTTGCTGATAGGGCGATTGCAGACCTGGGGCAGTCAGTGCTCAGTCCCTCTCCCTACCCTGGCACCTCTACCCTCACACTTAATTGTCTACAGGGAGCACTGTGAGGACTGCTACTCCAGGGAGCACTGTGGTGATGAATGAGAGTGATCGGCCCGCTGGCTCCAAGTCTTACTGTTGGCCCAGAGACAGCATCATGGCTGGCAGCCAGAGCTGATTTAAAACCGCTCAGCTCCTCCCATGCAGTGACCTCATGTAAGCCATTCACTTCTCCGAGTCTTGGTTTCCTCAGCTGTTGAATGAGGTAGCAACGATTGATCGTGTGTTATCACCACCAAGAGGAAGGCAGTAAGGACCAGGTGCCGGGCTTGCCCTTTAACTCCCTGGCAGTTTGGAGCTCTCAGGGAATAATCCAAGTGCCAGCATCTATGATCCACAACTCAGGTGCCTTCAGAGTCTGGGCATGGGACAGACTAGGTATGACAACCCAAAGAGGTGGCTCTGTTATCTGGCTTTTTCCCCCATTATGTATGGGCCCAGGACTGAGGAGCATTGGCTGTGACCCACATCAGGGACCACAGCCGCTCAGTCCCCATGCCTGGCAACCATAGCCTAAATCGATCAGTACCTGCTGATCCCCGGCCCAGAGATACAGCTTGGGCCCTGCAGCTGATGCTGAGGCAGTGGTATGGCTCTTTGTGAAGAATTTTGTCCTGACAGGCTGACAAAGGAAAGCTCTTTGTTCCCACCAGCTGGCTGCCGGAAAACGATTCCAGACAGAGTCCCTCAGATGCTGCCTCTGCCCCTGTGAAGGATGGATGTAGCTCCCACCCTGAGGGACACAGATAGGGGGACAGGAGGGACAAGCAGCCATGGCCACAGCTTCCCTGTAGAGGAGGGTGGGGGAGGGGCAGCCTTCTGAATCACTCTGCATTTGGCAGCTGCAGGGCCAGCCAGGGATTAAGTGACCCTCCAGGGAGAAGTCAAGGTCCTTCCGGTAAATTCTCCTCCTTCAGCTCCAACTCACCTTGTCTTATTCCTCCAAGCCTGTCCAATTGTATTCCTGTGGTTCCACATGAAGCTGATACCCAAGACCCCTG